GTAAAAACCCAGTAGGCTCAAAAAGAAGTTACAAATCTCCGTAACATTCTTATATGTTTTATTGACTTTCAAAATAATCGCAGACGGTTCATGACTACCCGAAGAAACTCACTACGCAGATCTGTTTTGACACCTCGAGAAAAATATTAACTTGTTTGGTGTTAGCACCATAACATTTACGAAAAAATCAAATTTTCCGGCTAAGGGTGATCGTAGTCGTTAAACAGAGCCGTCTCTCTTACATCATAGATAAAGTAAGGACATTTCGCTATCGCTTCTAAACTAGCCGAAATGGGAGCCTTCTTCCATTGAGTTTGAAAGTTCGTTCATAAAACTCGACTTTAAGCTTAATGGATGTATATAGAAAACCAGGCATTCTATATGGCAAAAGGTATATAGAAGTTACACAAGTAAATAAGGGTAGAATAAGCGTAGAATACGAAAGACACAACTATAAAAAGTCACAATATCCCATGGAAAGAATAAGTAATGGAAGGATGTGAGTTTCAAATAAAATAACGAAATATTACCAATCCCATGAAGTCTAGGACTTTGACAAGACACAATCAAGAACTCAAATTTGAGGTACTCAGTGTAAAATTGTATCACGTTATTAAACACAACATAAAGTATTTAACCCTACAGTAAACGTATTGGTTATTCACCACAGAATGTGGAGATGGCACGACATTCATATGCCCGATAAGTAACCGTTTTATCGAATATCATTAACCTAAAAGTGTTTTGGATACATCTGTTTTACTGGAGTTTTGAGCATCAATTTTTCATAACTTTGACCTCTCACATTTTGGTTTCACTGGGTTTTTGATTTCGTACTTCGAAAGGTTTCCTCCTAAAACCTAAAAACTAAAAATTTGTGTTAATGACTTGTAATTTACGAATAAGCTTTAGTACATGAATTGGGATTTGGTTCTCTTTCTAATTGCGTAGCAGGTTACGAGTGGTTCAGTTGACCGTGCTTCAATAATGTAAAAGAGTAAAATTTAAATGTAATCATCCTAAATTATAAAAATCAGCCAAAAAGTTAGTATTAACTACTTTTGGCATGCAATAACATGGAATTCGTCTCAGGTGGACACGAAATTTTCCGTTTGTAGAACCTTATTTTCTGGTTTCAGATTATGTTCAATTCCAGTCAAATATACAATCCACACGTACTTTCATTCAGCCAAATAGCTCATGGAAATTTTAGGCCGGAGAAAAGACAATCCACTCATATGGTGAGTTTAAAATTAGCAACAACATACTATGGTGTTTGAATTGACTAATGATACCTTGGTACTTGTTGAATGCTTGATTTCGAATTCCAAATACAATACATTCGTTTGTGCTTGTGTCTTACTTCTTGATTCAATTGCGTTAATTCTGGATTCCTAGTTTATACGATAATTCAAATACGTGTGAATATTATACATACTAATTGCATATGGTTGCACAAATGTATAGTAGTGATTAGAGTCTAAACGGCGGTTATTGGCAATTTATTACGAGAACGACTTCTGATCGTTACCAGTTACCATCTATCCACTTTCAAATAGCTACGTTGAAATCTGTGACCACCTTTTCGAAAACACGCTTAGTTAGAGCACATAACTAAATTCCTATGGCCTTAGATCATGTCCTGAAGACTGTCATCACCATTCTTTGATGCCGTGAGAGTTTTAGAGGATGGATCTCGGTTAAAAACTTCCTGAAACTCTCCAACTATTGATCACCAGCTTGCTCAGAAGGTCTAACTTTGTGCATACACATAATCATGACGATTTGGTCACAATTCCAGCATATTGACCTTGTTTTCTGATGACTGGATAAACGACACGACTGTAAACATCCAGAAATACCCAATCGGAGCCAACTACCTCGACTTTCCCGGACATACCATTGACGTTCAAAGTATTCGCCCTCGAAAAAAACAGCCCTGGATAAAATGGACTACTCAGAATCGACCATAGTCAAGCAATCGCCTACACTCAACGGACAGGTTGGCATTATCTTCAGTTCATACTGAATGGTGTGTCTCTTATGAAACTAAAAATACCACGAATGTACAGTGCTTGATAGCACTTCTGTCCGTAACACCTTCATAATTGGAGGATCCGAAACATAGTCAAATCAGAAACCAGGAAACAAGGATTTCGAAGATATATTTAGAACATAGTCGGTAAGTCGAAAATTTCATGGACCGGGCCGCATGGCGCGGTGTACTCAATGATGATTTGATGTAGGCGTGTGTTTGGGCGTCTTCATCTAGTATGTGTCATGTAAAACTAATAAGGTCACCATCAATGTCGGGGATGTACAGAACTATTTATTTCAGAGAATTATTCACTGTTACGAAACCGTTAACAGAGTAAATTTGAGGAAATGAGAAAACCATCACACTAGGTAACGACGCAAAGAAGACATTTACGACAGTAAAGGACATTTTCATTAAATCACCAGTGCTTATACGACACGACACAAAAGTACTCATCAGTGCCAACACAGACGAAGTTAATTGAGCAGTCAGAGGTATCTTCTATCAATCGGTAGAATAGATGTAGCGATTCACGACATTATCCCCAATACGTTAGCAAGACAATGAAAGAGGACTAAGGGCTATGCCTTGGGCTGTACCACACTTTCAATATTCTGTGGAAGGCCAAGAATTCATTCTGTTTACTGACCTTGATCCTCCTGAATTTTCCCTCAACCTGTTTTTTATTAAGTGTTCTGCCCAAAAGTCCAGATAACTGGACCGGACGTCGTAGTTTACTTCAGATACACAACACATTTCTATGGCAAGCAGTCTAGTGGAAGGCGCCTTATTTTATATAACTTCATTTAACATTTTCCAAAGGATCAACATTCTTAAATTCGACCAGCCTTGAAATGAGGACACAGATATTCAGCATGAGTTTTCATCGACAAGCCTGAAACAATGAAACAACCAAACTGAGATGGGTGAGATAGCTTCATTATGTGACAGGTCTACGGGCGGAGGTCGACCAATCATACGGGAACATTATCTGCGTGATGTTTTTAATTGAGTGCACAAAGTTTCTCATCTGGGTATTTGAGCAACCACCAAGCTGATTGCGAAATGACTTTACTGGCCTGGCACGAACACAAAATAGAGAGAGTAGGCAAGCTCACGCTGCCAGAAACCCTAGATGATTAGGTAATATATTGTCTCGTGGTTTACATATACAAACTGGCTGACATTTTATATAATAAACATTATCAGTAACCGAAGTTTATATTACTGACACTAAAGCATACTTCCCGTTTGTTTTACGGACGTCCTCTGTTGATAATTGATAATTAATCGCAGTCCTTTTGTTATTGTTATCACTGTGAGGTTTATTTCTCATCTCCGAGACAAAGTGGATCGGGCTATCCAGTTTCTTTAAGTAGAAAAAGGCCTTTTGAGTAATTGTAACATTCGTGTTAGGCGAGAATTTTGCGATCAACGGGTAATGTCGAAGAAACACCTCGCGAACAACACCTAACGAGGATTGCCCCTCCTTCATATCAAGGTACCATAAATGCTTTGAATATAGTACAGCACAAAGGACGTTATTACAGAAATATATTAATTAAAGTAGGTACAAGCGAAAATGCGACCAACACCAGATGGGCCAGTCAATGACATACGATGAACTGATATGCGTTGGTTGTCCTTGACTTTGACAGGGAATGATGATCTGTTTGATATTCAGTGACCCAACTGCCAAATGGTTTGGTCAGGTCTCAGTTTCATTTCACTGGTCCTACGAGTTTCTCTTCTGCTTCTTCTTGTACGTCTGTCATGTAATCATAAGGCAGTTATTGGCTGTCGTATTGTTTCCGATTTATGTGAGCTTGAGAGAGAGAGTGATTGGCAGAAGATCAATTATACAGACAAGTAAACTCCAAAAATCCTGGATTTACCACATGGCCAGAATTTGTGTAAAGTACTGTGGTTCATATTGTAGCGGTAAATAAATCCCCAAAATAAATAGCACTAAGTTTTCGACATTGGATGCTGACCATATGTTTTAGTGGACTCATCTAGCTGAAGGCGCTCGGTCATGCATCCGCACCAGATCACGTGTGGTAACGCCGTGCTCAACATCAACCGCGATCGCTAGCCAGATTAGATCAGAGAATTCCGATATATTGGTCATCGCCAAATATACTCTTCCGATCTCCTCGACTCTGTCTTTTGATTTCTCTGGGCGGGAACGAAATATATTAGAAGGTGTTACTGGTAGAAGCGTTGTCAAACACTGAATACCTGTGGCATCATCAATATCTCAAAAAGTACTGTATGCCTGTTGTAACTGACTTTTTTTAAGAAGGCCGAATTTTTCTTCAAAACTCCATAGAAATCTGACTTCACAATTATTAAACTGAGGAAAGCGTACAGTTGCAGAAGTTAATAATGGCTCTCATTTTGATGCAGATGAAGTTGCTAACTGTTTGGTTGGTCTGTGATGCAAAAATTTATACACTGATACCAAACACCTTTGCTCCACTATAAAATTTAATCAAGACATTAGAACCTATCAAAAATTCTATGTTAGCTACATTGTTAGATGAGTAAACATATTACCACTGCAATTTCGAAACCTCAAACACTCTACAATAAAACAGATTACATTGAAAGCGTTAAAAGGTAGAATTTTTTCGTTATAACATGAAGTGCTTTTAGTTCACAAAAGTGACATATTAACCATATCCAGATGTGGCAGCAAATTGAATAAACACAACTAACAATTTCAGAAACTAGACTTATCTGTTTCTAATTCTCCAGTTCATAGTAGTGCTATTGAGTACATACTAATTAATACGGAAACTGTGCCACGTAAATAGTACAACAGGCATACAGAGAACCTACGAAACAGACGTGTAGTATACACTGATATTTACAATATTCTTGTAATATTCCACCGTGCTTGAACCCAGTTTAGGTTTTCTAATACTTTGTAAGACCATGTCATCCAACCATTTGTTCGTACAACTCAATGGTAATGTTGTCATAGTTAGTTGATTTTGGCAAAGTTTTGAAACCTTTAGCAGATCAAGAAGAAAGATGGCTGCTTGTGTAGATGCATACAGTACTGTGAGAAGTGACGATGAGAAAATAGTTGATTCTGATTCTAAAAATGGAGATATACATATAAAGACATCTCTTTTTCATGGGCCTGGATGGTACGTACCATCTGAACGGCACTGGGTAAACTACGACAATTACTCCGCACTTCCAAGAATGACGAGCAGAGATGCTATAGATTTCCAGTCAGAAAAAGAATTCGTCAATTTCCTGAAAAAGCGTGACATACCAAATTGTTAGTATAATTCGCTTTGTCAAGCAATACATATTAATGTATGTTTACTAATAATTAGATAAGAAGATCACTGCTTACTTTCCCTCTCATCCTCCTTCTATCAAGTCGCAAAGCTTTTGCCAGATACCCTCCTTTCAAGCGAGATTTGGGAGCCTTAATGAAACTAACCCAAGTACTATTCGGAGAGGTGCAGATTATTATGAATACTACCAAGAGGTAATCACTTTCTAAAAGTTTATAGGCCATGTGGTTGTAGCAAATTTTCATCATTTAGCCTAATTCTATAGAATAATGATCTGAAGCTTACAAGAGATTTTGCAGTTTGAAAAAGTTTGTGAGTAATAAGAGGTGGCTAAATTTGATGTAGCTGTGGAACATTCAGCTCATTGTTCAGTGCCACATTTCTTTTCTCCTTTTTAAATTACAATTTTGACTCTGTAATTCACTTTTCATAGTTCTTTCGGACTAATATTACGTTGAAAGCCACCATTCAGTCAGAATAACAGAACTACATATACAGTGGGGCCACAATATGATAAGTAAAGTAGTTGAATTGGTGCACCAATTGACGATTGTCAGAATAATTCAATTTAAGTCAGATAAAACTAGATTAGCACAACTGTATGTGTTATACTTGAAATTTTTAATAAGATTTCGATCAAATACAAAGGAATCATCAGTAATTACAAATACATATATTCAACAAAAACGGAAGCATCAAATTTTTTTTTCGATTTTATAATCTTTTTATAAACAAGCTATACAGAAATTAATTCCTACAAAACATTTAATCTCCACTCGTTGGTTGTCTTGATTAGTAATAATAGATTTCATTAACAGTTTTACTCAGACAAAATGCAACCACTATGATTAAAATCCTTTGAATTCGATACTCAATAGTGAATAAATTTCAGTAAAATGTTGCGATGAGACATTTCAACTCCCTGATAACTAAATTGAGCATTACTTGAGTGCTTCTGAAATCTTCCGATGGTAAAGTTGATGTGCGATGAATAGTAAGAAAACTGAAGATTTGAAACGTTAAGACTAAAAATGATATTTTCTCTATCTTACTTTGCACGTTTTGTGGGTTTCAGTGCTCGTGTGTTGTAAATCAATCAACAATATGTGACCAGATATGACGTTAATAGCACAATATTTAGTTTCTAGTACTATGTCAAGCCCGCATTGGTTATTCTAGATTCCGGACAGGTTAATTAATTTATCCTTTTGGAATCACATTTTGACCTTTTCAATCATTCGCTTATGAAAGTGCCTGCTTTTATGTGAAGTATATGTATTTATCGCTTACTCTATTCATCAGATATCGTTAACTTGTTTTTGTCAGGCTATTGAGTCAATATTCATTGAAATGTATATGAATGTTTGACTTCTTTGATCCACCTCTCAGCTTTATTTCGACTGCTTTCTGTCAGGAACAACAAGCGCTACAAATATGAGTATCAAAAACTCATTTCCACACTTGTTTTATTTTATCTCGTTAAGTTGATAATTATATACGAGGATGGGAAACATGTATATTTCGTTGATATCATCCAACCGGACTAAGACCAGTAGACAACAAAAAATACAATAAGGCTATATCATTCTCGTTTATCATAGAACTCAAATATATTTGTTGCAACAGCTCCATCTTTTTAAGTAACATTATACGTTCTCGCCATTTTGATACAATTATGACCTTTTTTCAGTAATCCTATATTTTTCTGTACGTGCAAAAGTGTGAATGCTTCGTACATAGTAATGTTAAGGGGCTGTAAAATTCAAAATGTTTGAATGCACCCAGAAGTTACGTCAAAATATTTCTAGCATTTTTGAGGCCATTATACCCTGGAAATATGTACGTCGACAATTTAGAGTTTAAGGGGTTGTCTACATAAATATGGTGTTAACATAAGTATGGTGTTATTACTTTTGATTCTTTTTGAGTTATTTTGTCACTATAACCGTTGCTACGTGGCTAAAGTATGTAATTTGGATTATCTCTAAGACATCTACTTGTCTTACAATAATCACCAGTGAGTTAAATTATTGTATAACTCATCAAGTAGAAGTACCATTTCGCTTCAACTCTCCTACGCAAGCTTTATGAAATATCAACAAGCCTAGAGAACATTTAAAATGCATGTGCCTATGTCTAGAGTCATGAGAGCAAACTCGTTTATTAGTGACGTCTTAATCTGTTTCGAGCACGTTTGTAGAGTTAAAACCACTGGTATCTTCCAAATACGTTTAAGACGATAACCCTGTACTTTTGTACGTCAGTATATGTAAACAGCATGAAATTTTCGAAATCACATCTAATTTTCAGTACCGAATTTTCCACGAGTCCATAATGCAAGTATACAAAAGCGTCAGTTTACCGAGAATTCAAAAAACATTCCCGTTGAGATATTGATATGTTAAGTTGAACGATCAAATCTTTCTTTTCAAATAAATCTTCATCTTTGCTCTACACTATATATATGCTTTATACGTCATTAGGTCGACGCCACCAAATTCACTACTCTGGTTCCGGAATTCGACTCTTACATACAACAGAAGCCATAAAAATACATATTAAAAAATCTAACCTTTGTATGAAGAGGTCTATACAGCCTCTGAATCTTCCCTGGCCATCCATTTGAACGCTATCATGTGTTTAAAAACATTTCTTTCTCCCCCCATAAAAGTTCTCGAATCTCCATTTTGTTAAAATGTTAGTTTCTAATTATAATCTTACATATCCTGTTTGTTAATCATAGCATCTAATTTTCACTGCTAATACTAAATCCCGTCCTACTTGTCATTAATTTCACAGATAACAAAAGACATTTATATATGTATCAGAAAGGGTTTTGTGGAGATTGTAGTAATTTCAACAGTTTAGATCATGAATCATGTTGGAATTACTACAATCTCCACAAAATCCCTTTCTGATACTAATCAACATATGCTCACTAGTGACTGGTTTCAAGAGGTATATCCTGGAGTTCTAGTGAGAAGCAGTGACCACAGGAGTTCAACCGGGTCAGTTGTGAGATAATAACTCACCGATGACAGTGGTAGATGTGTCGCTCAATTTCGTGGATTAGTTGAAGATATACGTTAACACCGTCGGACGCCGGCCCAGTGGTCTATTTGGTTAAGCGCATGACTCGAGACTGACAGGTCCTGGGTTCGGAGCCCGTGAGGTGGGGTTGTGGATGCACACTGCTGAGGAGTTACACAGTAGAGCAAAACGGCCGTCCAGTGCTTCCAGGTTTTCCATGGTGGTCTAGCTTCAATTGATTCATGATCTCAACTGTTGACATATATATTTGCATTCAATTTTAACTCCTACTGCTACTCCTATGTAACCACATGTAGTAATTAAGTGATTATTCACCTTAGTTTTAATTTTCCTAATGTTGTGTAACTAGCTGATGATGTGTTTTGTTAAATTGACTCATCATCATCTGATTGGTATCGACTTACTCAAGTACAAAGCACTTGCATTATATATATATATATATATATATATATATAGAGAGAGAGAGAGAGAGAGAGAGAGAGACCCAAAGAAGATTCAGTTGAAAAGAAAATTTCTTGTCTCAACTCTTCTTAATTTATCAACAGTTATAAATACGACGACAGAAGGTTTTCTCAATTAAGTCATCTATCTCAGTGGAAAAAATGCATTCATTTAAACTTCAAGTTCATCTCGAAAAATTTGTCTCAGGAATGTTCGCTTACTTTTCGCTTTGACTGCAAGTGTCAGATTCACTACTATTAAAGCAGCCTTAATGACCTTAGAAAGAGTGGTTTTTTTCTACTTTTAGTTTACTCGTGTCATACATGACTTTTCAGCGCATCAAATGAAGTTTAAAAGAAAAAGTCGTTTCAAATTTAGCTTTTGATTGGTAGTTTAATCAGTGGCAATTAACGACAGTTAATAAGTTCTCAGTAATCATGTTAAACCCTTGAATAGTGAATATTTTTATTGTGGACTGCATCAAAAGTCAATTTATAACCTCGATTGAGATAAATAACAATAATTGTGTTTCAAACATCTTGGGCATTTTGATTATGTTGTTATGCATTGAATAAAGACGTGCTGGTGAAAACTGATTTATTGTTTAATGCACAATCACACAATAATTTAGTAAAATGCGAAAATCATACATTAAATACGTCATTTGCACATCTTCGAATTATTTCTTACAGAATTCATTGTCCCTTTTTTCTTTTGTTATCTTGACTGTTTTCAGTTTCTTTTTCTCTTCTTTCCATTTCAATCTTTTCAACATTCCGATCGCAGACACTCCACTTTCAATCGTTGTCACACTAATTATACTTGCAAACATAAGTACCACATACCACAGTTACAGTCTAATTGTTTACTTTAAATAGACTGTATGAAATATATTTATTTTTTAAATACTATTTAATTACAGATACTTGATGAAATGAAGACATCTGATCGTAGAAAGTTGTTATCTCCAGACATTATTGGTAACTCTTATATCAAACGTAGAATGTTATGAATAATGTGCTAATCATTTGAATTATCTGGTTCAAAAGAACTACGTTATAGTTGTTACTTTCAAACAATGCATAGAATCAGATGACATCTGAATTTATTACTATTCAGTTGATTGTAAAGCCTTCAGTCTACACATAAATCAGTGAGAAAGCAAATGCAAGTTGACGTATCCAAGTCTAGGCGGGGGCTTTATTTACATAGAAAACCTATTCTATTTATATACTTTTTATATCTATGCTTATATATTATATATACCTTTTAACTTGTAATCAGTGTGCAAAATATACTAAATGTCGTTTTGTTTTCATTAAAGATATACGACGATGTTCTTTCAAAAGATAAAATCTTATATTTCAAATGTTTTTATATGCATTGTATCATTATTTAGCCTACTATATTGTTCATAAAATTGAGTTTTATTTAAATCAGTTCAAACAAATTCTTTCAGTCCCAGTATGTATAAACATATGATATTGGCTAAAGTAGTAGCGAATTAGCTGTAGTAGCTGGTCACAGAAAGTTGTTTATAGATTATATCGTGAAATGGCATTACTCCTTGAGTATTGAGAAAAATTATGCGTAAGGTGAATTTTCTAAGAAATAATTCTCATCGATAACTGAACCTCCAAAATGATATATTACGAAGAACAATCTCATCCAATTCTAGTCTTTTAGTACATACCTGACATTTTATTCTACTGATCGAATTTATTTATAATCCTTATGTAAGGTTTGTCTGTTTGGTTTCAAACTGTCTTAGTGGAGTACTTACAATGAAAGTACTGAGGATGAATCCATATGAGGTTATAATTCAAAAAGGTAAAACGCAGTGTGTGATACTATATCTGTTTTTTGAGCATAAATTATAGAATTTGGTCGAGGAATAGAGAGAAAATAGTCACTCAAAAAGCACAATAACAAACAAATTATACAGTAATTGAATATGCTAAAAACGAATCAACTATGAACTGGAAACTTTCTTCGCAAAATTCTTCAGGTAGTACTTCATATATGAGGATTAAAAAAATGTAAATTTGATCATGGCGACTAGTAGCAGTGTACGTTAGTTTAGCTTCGTCCATTGTAAGTTCATCTTTACAAAAAATTATCTCCCTTTTCCTATTAGTCAATATTTTAAACAAGGGTTTACGTAAATTACTTTGATTTTCATGTAATCGACTAATCAAGTAAGTATTGAGCTTTAAGCTATAGCTTATCTATCAGGACTGGTAAGGCAATACGGGTGTTGAAAGCCGAAATAGGGTAGAGTGCAAATATGCAACCGGAAAGTTTAAAGTGGAGTATGCACAACTGCTCGAAATCAAAGAATTTTGTATTAATTATTCTGTCATCATATTTCTGAACATGAATGTGTTGATTACAAAGTAGAAAATTGCTAAACTTCTCGAGTTACTTTCAACTTATGGGACTTTTACCTAAATATGTAGTTTGTATTTTTATTTACCAGTCTCCAGCAAACATTTCTCTCTAAACTGATTAAGACCTACGTCTGTTACCCTTCCTGGAGGAGCGTAGGTCGCCCAACATCAGTGTTCGTTGAACTCTGATAAAATGTTCCTAAGGAACGAAAAATATCTAAATACAACTTTAATGACGCTATGAACGACGAGAAATTAATCAATAGGAAATTCTCCGTAGCGACTTTAAGAAGGGCTTTACAGCTGATCAGTGTTCAATAATAAACGTAAGGATAAATAATTTCATTTGACCAATTTTATGTGTTTATCAATTTACTTAACTGAAAATGGCTCAATAAGAAGTTCAGTAATAAGACACCCTGTGAACACAGGTCATCCGATCAAAGCGGATTGTGAGTTCAAAATAATATACAAAGTAGGAGACATCCAAGGGCAGTTATATTCCATTGTCTTAGCATTGCTGCAACACTAGTTACACATCTGGAAAAACCAGAATTGTGCCTAAGAGAACTAGCACAACCTCTTCTACTACCATCGTTTACGAGAGATCAACTCCATAATTTTTTCTTCTTTCACATCCATCTGTTTTCTTTCTATCTTCTCTAAAGACCTTTTACCCCTCAACTAATTCGTTTCTGTTTGTATGCTCCTCTTGATTACAGTTCATTTCAATTTCAACATTTGATCTTATCTTACTGAACCTTCCGTCCACAATTATGATTCTTAACTATCTTAATAATGAATATTCAAGCTCTCAATAACAAAATTATTTTTAGTTTTTTTTCTGATGTAAAAATAACGTTTCTATGCCTTTGTTTATTCTACCTCATTGTTACCATGCTTAGCTGGATTCTGTGATCACTATTATTGTAATTATTATCATTTTAGAACAATAAATACTTATTCGCTACCATCCAGTTTTGAAAATGAATTCACCTAAAAGAGAACTCTTTGCTGAACCAATCCTTTTCGTGAATTGATTTAAATCAAAACTTTTAATTCAACTTTCGTCAATTGGATTATTTTTCCACCAGAAAATTTGATTTTCAGTCTAATAAATAATAGACGTAAATGTTAAGTTGTCAATATAAAATACGAACTTCAAAAGAATATGAAAGTGATAAATTCTCATTTTATTTAAAAAAGAAAAGGATAAAATTTTTTTTTTAAAAATACACTTCCATCAATAGTTAATTTACATGGAGATAGTTGAAATTGAATTGAATTAACAGTAAAACAATTATGTACGATAATTTAAGAAAAATATGAAGTACATTGCTTTAATAATAAGTCTATTAAATACATCAGAATAGCATAATTGATATAACCATTTCTGTCTAATTTGACAGCTAGATCAGGTGAAAACTCTATAAAAGCAACACGAAAAAAACACAACATTTTGAATGAGTAGTATATCATAAACGTATGTACTTAATATAATGCAATATTATAGTCGGATAATTAAAAGACTGGGTATTCTTTTTCTCTGGCCTACCAATTTACTCAATTGTGGTCCTTTAATTTTTTATTTTAAACTGAATGAGTTAGGTTTGATTAAGTGTCAAAGTGTAGATGATAACTGTTGAACAATCCCAACTAAACAAATACTTAGTCGCCTTTCTCTAAATATTATCGGTGAGAGTAAATAACGTTATACTCTGGTTTTTCACACCTTTCTGATTGAAGATTGGATCGGTAAAGTTTAGATTAACTGTCTGGTATATGTGAATTTACTCTGATAATTTCCACAGATAAAATATTGTATAACAGGACAATATCACGTTGCTTCATATACGCACGTATTGAATTAACATACAAAAAATATAACGTTGCGAACTATGTCACATATAAGCTCCTCATAAAACGATTGTCAACGCCGTGGATTTGATATAGAGAACTTACACATTGTTATATAACTCAAAACTGTTTTCATCGATTACTTGATCTAATCATCCTGAACTTTAATTCGCCTTAATTCTTCCAGGACCATCATAATGTGACCTAGTTTCAATAATAGTAATGTAATAAGCTTTGGGTCAAAGTACTCGAAATACTTAAAGAATTGTTATCCTTAGATCATTCATTGACGGTCTATACCAATGAGGTATATGTAATTTTGAAGTTAATTTACAGAATAAAGCTTAGAATAAGTTGAAATAAAATTTGAGGATAAGAAATCTATGATTGCGTTAAAAATCAATAGATACTTCATCTTAATTCGCCATATTTCCACAAACCATATAAATCGCAGTATAAAGAGATCTAAGACGAAATCGCCAAGACATAAATGTGTTATTAAATAATGAATAAAAACCTGCTTAAAGATTATCAATCAGATTACTGGTCCACAGAGTAAAATCAGTGGGGTCTTAAAGCCTAGTTTAAAAACCTTTGAGAAATTATTGAGATAAACTGACTCGTTAAGCTTTTACCTTTGAAGATGCCACAGGTATTCGGAGTTTGACAACGCTTTAACCAGTAACACCTAATATGAATCGTACCCATCAAGTGAAATCAAAAGACAGAAATGAGGAGGTTCGAAGATACATCTGATCAGCCATCAGTATATTGAGGATCGTCTGATCTAATCTGGCTAGCGATTGTAGGGGTTGTTGAACACGGCGTTCCCACTCGTGATCTGGGGCGGATGCATGACCGAGCGCCTTCAGCTAGGTGAGTCCATTAAAGCTAATGTGGTCAGCATCCAATGTCGAAACCTTACAGAGCTATTTATTTTGGGGATTTATTTTACAGTATTCGATAAATCTAAATAAAAGTTAGAGTGCATTTTTTACCAAAAGTAATATAAGACTGACCATATTCTTAATCGATATATTGAATGAACGAATGTCAGGTGAACCTTGCAAAAGTCAACAAACCAGATAACTCTTTTCATAGCCATTTATACTTCTGTTTTTCTTTCATAATATCAGCTCAACAAGTTAACATTGAGCTAATTCCTAACGATATTTTCTACACTTGCTTCTTACTTCGAATTAACTCAAATATACATATATAGTAATTTTACAATATAACAATTAGTTAAATGTAAACTATGGTTGAGCAATTTGTAATCATAAAATAGATACCACGTAATTACTTTTAAGTATATTCAGTAATGAAGAATTACTCTCTTTATTATTAATCTCCAAAAATTTATCATTTATACAATCTGAACAATAAGATGTAAGTTTAAATAATTCCTCTTTTAGTGTAATTGGTTTTATACCGGCAGCAAATAACCGATGTTGGTAGCTATAACAAATTTGGTACAAAGAAAAAAAAAGATTAAAAATAATTACAGAATCAAACTTCACTGACTGAAATCATGAGTCAATTGAAGTTAGACCACCATGGAAAACATGGAAGCGCTGGATGGTCGTTTCGTCCTAGTATGGAGCTCCTCAGCAGTGCGCACCTACGATCTCGCACCCCGCGAGATTCAAACTCAGGACCTGTCAGTATCGCGCCATGTGCTTAACTAACTAAACCACTGAGCCGGCATCCAACGGTGTTAATGTCTAACTTCAATCAATCCACCAAATTGCGCGGATTGACTCATGATTTCAACCAGTGAAATTTCTAAAATCTCCACAAAACCCCTTCTGATAAGAATCAAACTTATAAAATATTTACATCTTTTCTTTTTTGTTATGTAATATAATTCTATTCATGATATTTAGCTTTGAATGATGAGTAAAGTATCTAGTGATATTTTGACTATAACAGTGATCAACGACTTGAAGTTTCCCTTAAAAAAACAAGAAGGAATAAAATGTGAGAATTTAAGAATAATCGGTTACCACCATTATATACCTGTAACAATTTTATTAAAGATTCAACGTACTGGATAATTTGAATTAAGATAGGCGAGATTCTAATTTATGGACGAACCAATCAGGTATAAGATAACAGGTCTCGGATTTTGTCACGAAGTTCACTCATTATATATTATGTCAATTCGTGATCAAAACCCTAAATCTAATTCGTAACCTTAACTATCAACTGTAAATCGTAATTCGAGTTCCTCACATAGGTTTATAACTCTCATTTGGTCCTTGTTATTAAGTGAACATTCTCAAGGTCAGTGTAGCGTCGCTCAAAGGTCGTCCATAAATTATAGTTTCATCCTAAGATGATATCCCATTTTGTCAATTTTTGAATAAATGAATAATTTGTTCAATAATAAAAAAGAAATATTTCAGTTGTTTAACTTCATTATTAAGCTCCTATAAAGAAACTTTAAAATCTACTATTCTATCTTTTGATGGTTTTTGATTTTGATTATTACCCTGAAGAAGTCCTGACAAGTTAGCTGAACGAAACGTTCGGATTATTTAAATTTCAATCGCTGAGATTATTTCAAATATAATTTTCATATATAATGACTACTCTATACTCGAGGCCCAGTTTATGTCAAACTATTTGTTCTAATCTTGACGAATATCCGTATAAATTCTATCTTTTATTTATAAAAATATTTCGGGAATTTTCCTAATCAAATGTCTGATTGTAATTATTTATATGGTATTATTTAAAATTATTGCCAATATCTAGGCAATAACAGTTAGTCCGAATAAGAGAGATAATTTCGTGAAGAGTATCTTTGTATGTTACACATTTTGTTTCAGGTTTGATTCCATTTGAGGTAAGCATGATTGAAAATAGTCTCAAACTAAATCAAAAACTTTGTATGATGGTCCTTAGCTTCCTAAACTACTGACATTTCATAATTCCATCTACATAGAGGTTCCTTTTGACCACAATAAAAGCATTTGTCTTTACAATAATTTATTCTTACTCAAGTATATGTACAACTAATAGTATTAAATGAATGCATTTTACAGCTTTACTTTAAATGAACTTTAATTGATACAGCAATATTTAAACAAAATTATGAAATTTGTTGGTAAGATTTAATAAATGCTAATACTATCATACAATTCTATCAATTTCATTTTACATTTTTAGTTCAAACAACATCGAGTTACTTGGCAAAAATTCTTAATTTATGATAATTTGAATGATGAGAATCACTTCTAAACTGTGCAACACTTTCAAGTCAACTTTTATTTACCCATAACTACGTTCCAGTTGGCTCTCATTTGCTTATTTATTTAAACATGTGCCCCCACTTCGTCATTTCATTTGTGTGAGGGCTGGAGTACTGCCTGAGTGCTCAAACCAAAGCAGGTGGTTTTCTTTGGCCTAGAGGTCTAATCCACAGGGCAGTGGAGCAATGTTAAAAGATACAGTCACATGGTAGCTGGTGATCAACAATAGGTACATACGACTTTTGTTCTCTCAAGATCCTGGAGCCCATGTACACCATTGGTTTGGAATCAGGGTTTTTCAACTCGTCTATGTGGACCCTCCGCGTCCATTAACCCGATTAAAACCTCAGACATTCGCTTTTCGTCCTGTTAATTTCGTAAACAACAACCCTCGCAGCGAGAAGGCAGTGAGTAAGACTTCCATGACAGCGGCTATATACACGTGGCCATGTGAGAGAATTTCGAGAGGAAAAGTTGATCCTCCTTACCTTTGACCGCACCAGGGCATTTGTGGGCAAACTGAGAGCTAACCGCCAGTCAGAACCCGAGATCGAACCGAGGACACCTAGAACTTCAGTTTTACGCTCTACCAACTAAGCTATTCCGGCTTCTCTGATGTGCTATCGTGGGAAGTTATAAGAAGCAGAGTAGAGCAATGACATTAATTAAGGTTCATGCTATATCCAAAATTAACTGATTAGAAATATGAACTTTTAGATATTGGCTCACTGGATTAATGAGATCTTGTTAGAAGTGCAATATGAAAAATCTCAGCTTAATATTAAAAGTGATGATGAGTGAACACTTCAATAGGATCTCAAAGCCTAATGGAATAGTTATTATTCATTGTTCTGATATGTACAGTGGTGAAGATAATGTTCATATTGTATAAAATCGCTTTCACATAATAAGACCCACAATACTGGTTAAAAAAGAAGTAGGGAAATAAAATATTAGGGAAGCCCAAACTAAAATAAGATGATTATTAATATTTATACGTATACATGTTAATAAGTACAGATTTCCAGGTTGAGATCAGTATTATGATCATATCCTGTAGTTGGAGATACCAAGTGATAAAATCAATCGAAATCTCACAGTTGTGTTCATTCTCCATCTTCTTATGGAATTTGTTCACCATTCTACACATTTTATTCTCCAGTTTCATTGATTCGTTTGGATACCATATCTTGTATGTCAATAATTTTACTGTGACATATATATTTTTTTCTGGGTTCAGTTTTAGTCAATCTATCAATTGTTGTACTGAAAAGGACTATGTCAAATTAGATCAATACACTTTGTTGACAAGTTCCACATTATCTATGACTAGCTGAATGACGAAATGTCCATAAAACTAACATAACAGTACTAATGCATCAAAACAAATTCTGAGAGATTTTCAGAATCTACCCTTAAAACATTCCATAATTCAGCAAAAAACGAAGCAGATATAAAATTTATTTAATTACCTTTTCACTATATACTGAATAGCTTTATATTCTACGCTGATATCATTTTTGAATGAGGATTCTTGAGAAAGGTATCCCAACTTATGCATTACTGTAATCATACCGAGTACTGGATCATTGATTTCACGTAAATTACCTTGATTGATTGTTATCGTAGGCAAAATTTGTGCAGTAGTTGATATTTCTAAAAAAAAGTAATTTTTAAAAAGGAAAAAATTAGAATAATCAGTAATACGATGACGCTGGGAAGTAGTCCCCTAATATTTTGTGAATATTTTGAAAAATTAAAATAAGACACTTGAGCAATAATTAGTAGTGAAATTTGTAGTGATTTATGGCGCTTTCTGTTCTTAACTGAATTTTAATTAAATGGATAAAATCTTCATATAGATGACAAGGTTAACCTAATACCTACATAGGATTGATGCTCGACCTACGCTATTTAAAGTTTACAATTATTTAAGCTTTTAATGATTTCTTCTAATCGGGCTTATTTTAGTTAAATATTTTGTACAAAGTTGTGTAATTTCGACGGATAAAGTGACTTTTATTGTTGATCAGTTGTCCTGAAAGGTCTTCTTCGAAATAATTTCGTCTTTGAGAGTAACTGTCTAGCATTCCTACAATATTTAGAACTCTGAGAATCGATGAGAAGTGTATTACTATGTAGTTATTCGAGCAACTACAACAGAATCCCAGAGTTCTCATATTAAAACAATCTAACAAGAATCTACATTATTTTTTACTTCCAATATTAAAATAATATTGTGGAATAATTTAACATCATATTTTGGATAATAATTTTAAGCATCGTCATATTGTAAGATTAGATGCTAAAACTCCACAAGGACAAGCCAAACACTTTAAGGTAATCCAAGCACCATAAGCACAGATGGATGATGGCCCGCGGTAGAATCCGGGATGCGCGTTTCGTCCTATTCGGGACTCGCCAGCTGGATGTTTTCGCATCCCAGAGTTGATGTTCAATTTGGGACTAGTATCCAGTACAGTTTGCTTCAAACGCCATCGCGTTATCTACTGAGTTACTGAGTCCAGATAGCCACCAGCCTGCGCACTTGGATGACGTTTAATTTATTGTTGTATTGGTTGTCTGAATATTCCCATTGACGTAATAATGCCTGTAACTTAAGGCAATAGCGAGACAATTCGCGCAGGATGCACATATACCAATAAGAGACTGGTCAAGTGTAGTCCTAAACGTTAATGGAAATATTCCAACAACTAATTAAAAAATTAATTTTTGATACAAATTTAAAACTTTTATCCATCTCAATAGCTTATACAATCAAATCTAGTTACTAGTTGAAACAACGCAACAACTTAATGGTTTAATTGTAATTTATAGGATAACAATCTATGCTTTTCCGCTTTGCACCATACAATATTGAACATCACTATCCAGTTAATAAATAATAGTATATTGTAAAAATAAAAAAAAATCAATGAAATGACCGGCTAAAGGCATTCGATGTATTTTTGCTTATACATTGCCTACTTAATATATGATTACGCAGTATGTTTATGAATTAAGGTGGTTGAGTGAAAATACGGTTAGAAAATGTTTCGTATATTACTATTTGAAAATAACTTCATGTCTAATCATTTGTAATTACAATTAACCCATTTAATCTTACAAGCTAAATAAAAAGCAAATTTGATTCATTCAATACATAAGTGAAAACGTTGTTCATAACTATTATATTAGATAAACGTTGCACAATTCAAGCAGAAACAATATCCAGTCTAGTAACGGTTAACAAAAATCTAATTGAAGTTCATAAATGATCATAATTCCATTTTAATGTGAACGGCTAATATATTAGTTGTTTATCTGGACTGATTTACTACTGTAATTCTAGAAGATTACTTTAACACATTGATGATGTATGTAATAAAATTACATATTTGTATGATGCATAAATTGAAGTGAGAATAATAAATGTCAGTAAGTAACATAATTAACTCCGTCTGGAGTCCCTCCGGGGGTTACTGCCAGTCCCAAGCCCGGATAAACGAGGAGGGGGGCATCGGGTTAGCGACCCTATCCCGTAGAAAACTAACTCGCTAAAAAACACTAACCAGAAAAAATTATTCAAACCTTTTAAAGTAAAGTAAGTAAGTAAGCAACATAATTGTGAAATATTATCAATATCATTATTTATAAGATAAAAATTACAATTTACTGATTGTGAGAAATGTACTTCCTTAATTGTTAACTAAAAATGAAGTTTAAGTAAACGTTTAATTTATTTATCTGATGAAAAATCTGCAATACTCAAGTTTATCATGATGTGAATTATTCCATTATATCAAAGCTACTAGAGTTCAGTTTGAATAGAAGACGTATTCACTATTCAGGTCACACAAGAAAAATACAACTTCATAAAATTACGATCATATTTATAACTATCGTATTAAATGGAATATTGCTATTAAAAAAATGACTTACTTTCTACATTGGAATCAGGTACTTTAACCTGTAATGAATCATAAAATTGATGTATAAAATATATTCATTAGGCATATTAAAAATGTAATTCATAATATTTATTATTTATGATATACAATAGAAGTATATTTCACTGGTTGAAATCATGAGTCAATTGAAGCTATACCACCATGGAAAACCTGGAAGCACTGGACGGCCGTTTCGTCATATTGTGGTACTCCTCAGCAGTGCGCATCCACGATCCCACTCGCGGGATTCGAACACAGTACCTCTAGTCTCGCGCGCGAACGCTTAACCTACTCGACCACTGAGCCGGAACCCAATGGTGTTATTGTCTATTGTGGATGCGCACTGCTGAGGAGTCCCACGATAGGACGAAACGGCCATCCAGTGTTTCCAGGTTTTCAATGGTGGTCTAACAATAATCAGTTCGTGATCTCAATCATAAGCTTAACAATCTCCTAAACCACTAAACTAATAATTCAATATATTTATGTTCATTTAGTAAACAGGCAGAAATGACCTTTCAAATAATAAAAGTACGCTGGTGTTATAACTGTGACTGCAGATTAGAGAGCAGGGTATTATCGACTGGACCAAAGACGTGTAAAACACGTAAGAACTGCCTAGAGTTCTGATTGGTTCCGCCTCCCTGTCTAGCCCAGCCAGTTGAGTCCAGAACACAAGTCTCAGCCTCTGAGATATGAATCGTTATATTGTAAGCATACTCTGTTTATATACCAATCAAGAAGAACACATCGTACCATAAAATAGAAAATAACATTTGACACGCGAAATAAGTATTGACCAGTAGGAAAATGACACGTGAAATCAATATTGACCAATAGGAAAATGATACCATCTCAAGTCCAATGATAGCGTTAGACTTAACAGAATAATTTTCGGGATATTTTTCTGAATATCCCAACAGCTGGATATTTTTATTTTTGAAACCTTAAGAGTAAAATTAAGCGTATTCTAAGTAGTAATTAACTTCTTATTGAAAGATAACTAGAAGCAAATTGTTAAATTTTAACAGTTAAATTCATCAGAGAACTTATGATTTATGAAACATTTTCTGGTAGTTAATTACAAAGCTTAAAAAAAGTTTCACTATACGGTTAAGAAACATTCCCGTTTAAAAATTTTTTTTATCCATGTTCAACAGTGTTATTCAGGATAAATATTGTCAATTATTACAAGTAATAATTATTATAAATTCACTTGGTATTGCTTATTTGGATCTTCCCATTAATGTTTAGGAATGCAATCGATTCGTCTATCATTGGCAGATGTGCATACTCTGTGTATTGCCTTTATAATGCCTTAATTCACAAGCATTATAAGCAAAGATGGATAGTGTATAGCAGTGGAATCCAGGATGAGTATTTCGTCCTGACTGATCAATCGAAGTCCTAAACATCAATGGGATGGTTCAAGTAAACAATACCAAATGAATTTAAACTTCACAAGCAAGTGGCTATCTGAACTCAGTAGCTAAGAGAGTAACGCGATGACATTTGAAGTAAACAGTATTGGGTTCGAGTCCCAAAGTGAATATCAACTCTGAAATACAGGTACATCTAAATGACGAATCCCAAATAGGGCGAAATGAGCGTGATGTATTTCACTGCTAGCCGCTATCCATCTTTTCCTGTAATAGTTATTATGCTTTGAATATCTTATTATTCAAATATGTTTACCAGTAAACACATGTTCAGTCAGAAATACGTAAGCTATATGAATGATAATATACTGATACCATATAATAAAACAACAAAATGTTATATTTAATAATAAAAATAATACATTTGTAAAGTTGCAATGTGTTTAAATTTATGCTAGTTTAATTCGTTTATTTATTCTTGTTGTCGGAACAAGTGGATTAAACTAGGTGATGAAATATTAGAAAATCGATTTCTTACTAATTGGGACTTTACAAGTATAATATATTTATCACAAACAATCTATCCAATAAATAAGAACTTTATTCTAAATTTGATCGAACAGTTTCACAGTGTTTGAGCACTGAGTTGATGTGAGACATTAAAGAGGTAGAATGTATTTGTAAAATCTCAGCGAATGAATTTGAAGTAAAACCAACGTTTCACCTGGCAATCTGGTCCAAGTTTTTTCAAGGAAAAAAAATACATTCTTCCTCTTCAATCTATCCAATGCTCAATTTATTTGAAATTACCTAGTCAAACCCTAGTGATAATACTCAAAAATATGTATATGTTCTGAATCAAATTGAAAAGTTCTCTTTCCAAGTAATTTTTAGAAACCCACTTATTCAAATTCAAAGCTAACAGACATTAAATAATATACACTTTTAAGAACAAGCCCTGCCACAAAGCATCTATATCTCAATTTTTACTCTTGGTTAGGCTGTGGGTATACATTGTTAGGAAGTCCAATACCAGAAGGAAAGAGATAAACAGTGTTCTGTGATTTGCGAATAGTTGTCTAGTTATAGTTATTTTATGACTTTGGTCATGAATATTCAATTTGTTAAAACAAAAAGTGATAATTTCATTTGCATAGTTATAATAACTCACACAGAACAATAATAAAAAAGAAGGAATAGTGAACTGGTGTGACCTGTCATGGAGGAGAATGGGCTTCTCACCAGTATTCTGCATCGAACCCGATGTTTACTTCACATTAGTAAGTGATAGCTTGTAGATGAGTTGTTTGGTTTACAATATTAATTGGTGGTTAACAGGCTGATAAATTAATACAATACAACCATAAAGCATGATAATAACATTTTAAAAAAAAATTTATAAACAGTGCAAAAATGCGTTAGATGTGCAAAGAGACTTGTGTTAATAACTATTAAATTTGTCAACGATGAAAACAGTGTTATGATCTGGAAACTAAATTTGCATATTTGACGCCAAATTATCGAATACTATAGAATAAACAGATTTTCCTGTCCTAAAGTGAATAGAGAGAGGATTAAGTGTTGCATACTTTATTTCCTCATTTAAATAGTTATTTGATTACATAATACATGCCTAAAAGACTACTTGAACTTCTTACATTATTAATATATGTACTATGTTTCTCATAAACTTGTTCATCCTTAGAGTGTTTAAAAGGACAACACAAATCACATATAATGGTATTTTGAAACTCTTTTAATTTTCCTTTAATTTTTGCACATTTTGATTGTGTAGCATCTAATTGGGACAGAATATCACTGGTCAAATAAGTAGCCACACCTAAAATAAACAATGAAGTAAACACATAAATTGTATTTACATTAAGTAATTTATGCTCTTTATCAATTAAAAATACAATTTCCTATATACATACATGAAAATTAAAGTTGTTAGTTTGTTCCAAACAAAGATTTAGGTTTTAATACAACAGGCTACTCCAGCAAGACGTTTTTCAATACATTGAACACAACTCCAACCGTTTTCTGCGAACCGAATGAACAAAATTATTTGTTATCAGGACTGAAGGTAATGTACTGACTGTTTGATTTGACTATTGTTCAATTACTATCGTGGTCGTGGCTGTGCACTGCTGAGGATTTTAATGCTAAGTTAGTACGTGATATTAATTACCTTTATTTATTGTATGTTAAGATATTGAGAAAATAAACCTGATTATATGAAACAAGTGTCATACTTTTTCAGTACGTGGAATTACGTTACTGAATGTAATACAAATAGCTTACAAGCCATCAAATCATGAAATCGACAGGAAGACGTTATCAACCTCAAGATTAGAAGAACATGCCACTTAATAATCTCTTTACGTATCACAAAAATGTCGAAACACAAAACGACTGCGATAATTTCTACATTATATCCTTAGCACCGATTTTCAACAACGGCGGAGACTCCCTTAGGGAGACTATTATTATTAATTTTAATATCATTATTATCACCATTATCAGTATAGGATTGTATAGATCGCTGAATTTCATTAAAATTATGAACCGATTAATGTGGATTGGTTGAAGTTAGACATTAGCAACACTGGATGCTGGCTCAGTGGTCTAGAGGTTAAGCGTTCACGCGCAAGATCGGAAGTCCTGAAGTTGATACCTATGTACGGGGAGGAGTCTCATACTAGGACAAAACAACTGTTCAGTGCTTCCAAGTTTTCAATGGTGGTCTAAAATTTTTCGGTTCATGATTCCAACCATTATTACTATTACGGCAGCAATGTTTAATACTAGTTAGTGATTTATATGAAAAGGTCAATTTTAAATTCTAATTAAAATTAATACCATATCAGAAACATTCCAACTCTTATTAATAGTCCCATCAACCCTGTCATAAACCACGATCAATAAGAAATCTACATTGTTCTCAAGAAGCTTTAATCGTATCAAAGGTGTTGATCTATTTCAGAAGAATCAAACTTTTACAAAATACTGCAATTTTAAAATGAAAAGAATCTGAATTATTTGAGTGCAGTGAATTATATTCATATACAATAAACAGATGTATAAAATGCTCGCTTATTTTGTAGTTTACCTGTTATATCAGGTCTCTGAGCTGGATCAGGTTTTAGACAAACTTCAATTATTTGATCAACAAGATTAGAATATTGATTTGGACATTTAATTTTGACTGATTGATATTCACCTTTTACAATACGTGATGCAGTACTAAGAATGCATTCACCTTGAAATGGTGAAGTAAATGTACACATCTGATATAGAATACAACCAAGTGCCCATATATCTGCACCTTCACCATATGGAAGACATTGTATCATTTCTGGACTATAGATGAGTTTCATTTTAAAAATATATAGAATAGGTATTGTTAGATTAATTATACAATTATTATTAAAGTATGCACGATTCTCAAATGAAAGGATAGAAATTGAAATTAGTGAAATGATTCCTCATTATTATTTACACTCACCATTGACTGAAGCGAAAGAAAAAGACTAAGTTTCTTGACTATTATTCGGAGCTGTGCGAGATAAAGTCTATATCAACCAACAATTCAATAATAAATCGAAAAGTAGAACAACTCTTAATAAACTCAAGGCGGAATCCAGTAAACTCTTACAGTCATTAAACGCTAAGCTAGGATCGTCATTATGGTTTATGTTACACCCAAAGAGTTGTAACCCTTGCAGATTTTATGGACTCCAAAAATTCACAAGAGTAATACTCCAGTAAGACCAGTGGTAGACTTTACAAATTCACCGACTTATAATCTAGCCAAATATTTAGCTTAGATACTCAAACCGTATGAAAAACTGATTAATCATGGAATTAAAAACTCTATGGAATTCAAGAATTTGATTGATACCATCGATATAGAAGAGGATGAAATTATAACAAGTTTTGATGTATCTTCCTTATTCAATAATGTACCTATTAATAGAGCTTTCACTTCACGTGCCTGTTACTCCCAGTGGAGCATAGGCCGCCGACCAGCATTCTCCAACTCACTCTGTCTTGGGCCTTCTTTTGTAATTCCATCCAATTCTTGTTCATTTTTCTCATGTCTATCTCCATTTCCCGGCGTAATGTATTTTTTGGTCTCCCTCTTTTCCCTTGACCTTGAGGATTCTAATTGAGGGCTTGTCTTGTGACGCAGTTAGGTGCTTTCCTCAATGTGTGTCCTATCCACTTCCAGCGCTTCTTCCTGATTTCTTCCTCCACTGGGATCTGGTTTGTTCTCTGTCTGAAGACCCTCCGAGGGCTACTGCCGGTCCCAAGCTCGGATAAAGGAAGACGGTTGGGTATGGGGTTAGCAACCCCATCCCGTAGAAAACTAACTCGTTAAAAAACGCTAGCCAGAAAAAAATATTCAAAAATAGAGCTTTGGATATTAGCAAGGATTGTTTGGAATCTGATTCAGATTCGAATTTACGTTGCCCACTAGATCTATCTGAAGTTATCAAATGCTTGGAGCTATGTTTAAGATCTACCTTATTCATATTTCAAGGTCACCTTTACAGACAGAAAGAGGGTATAGCAATGGGTTCATCAGTTTCTCCGATTGTAGCGAATTTATTCATGAATTCTCTAGAAACTAGTGCAATCGCAAGAAGTATATGTCCACCAAAGATATGGTTACGGTATGTAGACGACATTTTTATTATCAATAAACGGGATGGTTTAGAATAATTACTTGACAATGTAAACAGTATTTCAGAAAACATTAAGTTGACGAAGGAATTAGAATCAGTTGACAACAAACTCGCATTTCTCGATTGTTTGGTTGAACGTAGACACAATAATAATAAGTTGAAAATAAATGTTTATAGGAAATCAACACATTCAGAAAGATACTTAAATTCTGATTCGGCTCATGCAAAGTGCACGAAAGTTAATGTTGTAAAAAATTTAATGAACAGAAGTACTAAGCTTGTTACAGATAAGGAAAACTAACGAAATGAACTGAATAAAGTATTTTCTAAGCTTAGGGATAACAACTACCCAAAAGAGTTTTTAAAGATTGTTAAAAATGAGAGAAAAACCAAACTAGGATGTATACGAAAAGTTTGGATGTACACGGTAGTCATCCTGTAGTGAACAGAACACGGGTGGGGACAATCGCATGTACGTAACACAAAATTACAGGATTTGTTAATAAAACCTAACAATCATAAAGTAAATGCTTAATTTGCAAAATGTCCGTCGATTGTCTCAAAATAACTCAGACTTCATTGTTCTTGCATTTTCATAAAATTGCATTTTGTTTCCATTCTTCACTGTTCGATCCTCTTGTCTCTCTGATTCCAGACCTTCTGTTTACGACTAACATCATATACTACTTATGTTAATATAAGTAGCACACACCACAACCCCATACTGTAGTGAAACATCGGAAGAAATCAAGCGGATTCTAAAAAAAACATGATATAAGAGTGTATTTTAGGGCAAGTAACACCTTAAAACCGACATTAGTGGAAGTTAGAGACAGGTTACCAAAGGAAGAACAACAGAATGTTGTCATGATTGTAATGCAGCCTATGTTGGAGAAACATCCAGACAATTAAATGTAAGGTTGGAGGAACACAAACAATGTTTGAAAAATATTCCCAAATCCTCAGTTGATTTGAAGAAACTTGAGAATAAGTCTGCAATAGCGTTACATGCGTTAGAAACAGGACACAAGATTAATTTTGAAGGGACCAAAATACTTCAGAAAGGTTTTAACACTCATAAAAAAAATTGACAGCAGAAGCGCTGTATATATGGGCGAACAAGAACAGCCTGAACAGAAAGGATGGTCTTCAACTAGCGACTACCTGGCAATTTTTTGTGTGAAAAGTAATTTGAACCTTCACCTTATTCAACCTGTTCATTTCACATACAGCGTTATTTTTGACTGAGTTTTTAGCAATACAATTATGTATGCGGGACCGCGGATGTGCACTGCTGAGGGGGCCCATACTAGGACGAAACGGCCGTCCAGTGCTTCCAGGTTTTCCATGGTGGTCTAGCTTCAATTGACTCATGATTTCAACCAAAAAATTATGTATTTGTTTGATCCTTAAATTTGACATGCATATAGATGATTCCTTAACAATTTTTCAAACTTGAACTTTTATTTATTCCTTCATATATAACATATTAACACCGAATGTCAATGAATAATTCTCACACATACATACACACTCACACACATACAGTTTGTTATTCAGTTAATTATTTCCATGTAATTTCAATGGTTGAGATAATGAGCCAATTGAAGCTAGACCACCATGGATGCCGGTTCACTGGTCTAGTTGGTTAAGCGCTTGGTGCGAGACTGATAGGTCCTGGGCTGGAATACCGCGAGGCGGGATCGTGGACGCGTACTGCTGAGGAGTCCCACAATGGTGGTCTAGCTTCAACTGACTCATGATCTCAGCTATTGAAATTACTATAATCTCCACAAAACCCCTTCTGATAAGAATCAAATTTATAAAATATTTACATCTTTTTTGATTGGTAAAAAGCCATATATTTCTTTGGTGATTTTGATTTTGATTATTACCCCGAAGAAGTCCAGACAAGTTCGCTGGACGAAACGTTGGAATTATTCGAATATCAGTTGCTCTAATTATTTCAAATATAATTTTCACATATAATGACTTCTCTATACTCTGCGCCCAATTTCTGTTGAACTATTTGTTCTAATCTTGACGAATATTCGTATAATCTACCTTAGTTTAGACATTTGAAGCAGTATAACTATTATGCAATTAGATGTAGTTTGTTACCGAAAACTATTTAAAAATAGACTCAAAATGGACAAAAAAAACTACATATTCATTTAATAACAACTGTAACCGTGATTCTTCTTAAAAGTTTCATGTCTTAAGTGAACAGTAAAAAGATACTAATTCATAAGGAGTACTACTAAATAAGATGTCATTTATGATACAATATATAATAAGCATCAAAATAAATTCAATAATACCAGGCATAACATAATGTACCAACAGTTGATTTTGTTTCATTTGAATTCAATGTTTTGTGATATGCTAAACCGAAATCCGTTATAGTAACCTGAAATACATAAACATAATTGCTGATATATATTATAATTCATTATTATAGTTTTTAATTAGTAAATTTAATTGGAATTTCTTTCAAAAGAAAAATGGTCATACAAAGTAACAAGTTTATTAATTCAAAAGTATAAATTATTTAATTAAAGCCAGAACAAACATGGATACAGAATAATATGAATTCATTATGTTTTTTGGTTTCTCATCAGATGCTTTACATTGAGGTAAGATATATTGTGGAACAATTAACATAGATGGATGAAAAGAATTGGAACGGCAAGGGTTATCAATAATAACTATGTATATGTATGCAAGAACAGGTCAGAGGTTATTTTGGTGTTAGAATCAAGAAAACAATAACTTATATCAATTGTTTCACATTATATTTTACCTTAATGTAAAATTCTAATACATATTTGATTGTAAGCAGATGATGAGAAACCACAAAATATAATGAATTCATATTATTCTGCATCCATGTTCGTTCTGGCTTTATTTAAATTCATAAAGTGAACTTATTGTATGAAATTTATGACGTATTTTTAATGTTTAAAAAGTTTTTCATTAAGCAAGTTACTTGAAGAGAAGAACTAAGCTGCTTGAAAGCCCGTTTTTCAATAGGATACATCTTCAGTTGCCAACACTATTATACATTACTATTATTACAATTATAAGCCTTATTCAACACTATATTTTGGGTACTATATAGAATTCTCAGCATAAAGTATTTCAACCAAACTCTCAAAACACCAGCGGTGATTACTTGGAGAACATTAACCAAGAAATCTATATCTGATATAACTAGTTTAAAAAGTAAATGTGCAAAATGCCAGTTAAGACTGTTCTAAGCTGACTTCAAATCGATATCTTACTAGATTGTATGTTAAATGAACAAAATGACTTATACAGTGGTTACAGAGAAGACTTAAAAAATCTTTGGTTAAGTGAGAAAAAAACCTATATTCTTGTATAAACTGAAAATATTTTCCATCACGAACTGAAAGATCATGCAAAAACTAGTGAACAATGAATATTTACTTTCGTTTTAGTTAAAAGCTCCTAAGAATTGCATATTCCTGAATTCACATAGACACTGATATAGTGAGCCAAATAGAAGTAGCCAAACAGGAATGCCACTTAATGAAAATCAGAAATGACCTAAAGGACAACTCCATAATCAAATCCAGATGTTCTGTTACCAATGAATCTATCAATCTATTGTGTCTCGACTGGATCACGGATTTGAAAATGTTCGATCGACCACTTAATCTTATTTATGATCCAGATTTAAAATTGTTCTTTCAGCTATATAATCTTATTTGTAATCAAGGGTCTCCCCTTCCTTTTATGATGTACAAATAGAGGCAGTTTTCCAGTGATTTTCAAAATGAACACAAGGGGAGAGCGCGACAGAGAAAAATACCCGGATTAATCCCACACCCAGCCTCACTTAATGCTGTATCGCCAGCCAAATCAATGTTCGGAAGAAGGACTCGAACTTCACGTGACGCCAAGAATTCACATAGAAAAAAGCCAGATTATAAATCTGAGATGGGGAGAACTGCATTTCGTTTTACTTAACGTCCAAGAATGTGGGCTTATTTTTCAGGAGGGACGAGTTAGATAGTGAGCCAACCAGATCTAGCCGAATGAGGCCACATGATGACAATCAAAAATGACGTGGAGAATAACCACATATCAATTGACTAAGAAATGGATTCAGCTTATAAGGAATATATATATGAGTATTTATGTACATTATTCGGTAGATCAGTAGATTTTCCGTCCCATTCTTGTCTTCTCGCTCAAACGGTCTGTTTGGAGGGTTAGCGAATACCATGCTATATATCACTCAGATTTCGGACAGCGCCCATCATAAATGAGATGCACTCAAATCTCTTACGTTTCATGTTCATCAATATACCGTGGAATCACTGAGTCAAAATTGACTTTTTTCTATTGTCATTTTGCTCAATCTAATGTCACCATCAGCGAGTGACTATTGCCTTTCTTCCGAGTGGGTTTAACGTCGCACATCAACCAAGATTTCAAGAAATTCATCTGGACGATAATCCCATATAGGTGCATGATTATTATTTATTAAGCTGGGTTCTTTGCATATTATTTTCTAGTGATTATTGATTAATATCAGTCTACAGCTATAATTTCATCTCGTAATGAAGACTACTTTTAAAATAACAATGGCTTAGTAGAATGAACTAGTACATTACTTACCTTGTTACCTTCACTAATCATTATATTATTTGATGATAAGTCTCTATGCAGTATTTTCTTCTCTTTATGTAAATAACGTAAACCTAATATTAACTGAATAAACATATTCCAGATTTGTGATTCACTGAAATGTATATTCTTCTCTTTAAAAGATATAAGTAACTCTGTCAACGAAACGCCATCTAATAATTCCATCACAATGTATAAATGATCAGCTGTAGAAGCCAAGAAAAAAGTAAGCGAATATTAAGTGATTAATTAATGTAATGTTTGATTACTTTTCATTTGTACAAGTCACCGTTAAATAAGACGGTTGAAACTAAAGATATTTTGAAGATTATTTCAAGTTTATTATTTATTAAGAGTAGAAGATGCTCGTAGTCTACTAGTATTTGACTACAGATGCCTTAGAAATATTGCTGGCGTCTGCTGGGATCACCAGGAATGTAATAGTGAGGTTAGACGCAGAATATTAGGGAATGATGATAAATCAATTGATGAGGTTGTATATCTTCATGGACTGAGATGGTTGGGTCACATGTTACACCGATCGCTACGATGCGCAATGCTGATTAGTGTTGGGGAAGGTTGGAAGGAAGTGAGGGGCGGCGAAACCAAAACGCGGCATCAGTGCTTGAAGTTACTAACTTTTAGTCTGAGTCATTTTGGTAGAGGCAGACTACTTGATTGGGTCCGCATGACTATCGTAACCAATGGTTGGAGACTCTGGGTGATATGGCTCAGAATCGATCACAATAGCGTAGGTGTATACACTCTCTGTCTTCCCTCAAACTGTGAGATTAAGATCATCTCTACTGTGAATAATTTAAAATCTAAATGTAAGTTGAAATACTTAAAACAAAAGTAAATTTTATCAGAAGGGGTTTTGTGGAGATTTTAGTAAGTTTATAGTTGAATTCATGAGTAGGTTGAAGCTAGACCACCATGGAAACACTGAAAGGCCGTTTCTTCCTATTGTGGGACTTCTCCGTAGCAGTGCGCATCCACAATCCCGTCTCGCGAGATTCAAACCTGGGACCTATCAGTCTCGCGCGTGAACGCTTAACCTCTAGATCACTGAGCCGGCATCCAACGGTGTTAATGTTTAACTTCAACCAATCCACGAACTTGAGCGACATATCCACCATTGTTTTTCAGTGAGTTACTTACTCACAACAGACCCGGTTGAACTCCAGTGGTCACTGCTTCTCACTAGAACTCCAGGAAATACCTCTCGAAGCCGACTCAGTGGTTTAGAGGTTAAGCGCTTGCGCACGATACTGATAGGTTCTGGGTTTGAATCTCACGGCACGGGATTGTGGATGCGCATTGCTGGGGAGTCCTATGCTAGGACGAAACTACCGTCTGGCGCATCCAGGTTTTCCAATGGTGGTCTAGCTTCAATTGACTCATGAGTTCAACCAGTGTAATAAATTATATCCCAAATGAATTGAAGACGATATGAACTGAATTCGAATATCGCATATATCAGTCAAAAGAATTATACAACAATTTAAATAATTAGCATGTTTTATTAAAAAGGGGAATTTTCAATAGTTGAGATCATGAGTCAGTTGAAGCTAGACCACCATAGAAAATCTGGAAGCACTGGACGGCCGTTTCATCCCACAATAGGGCTCATGATGTCAACCATTGAAATTACTATAATATCCACAAAAACTCTTTCTGATAAAAAGGGGAAATGTTGAACAAAATCTGATCATAGAAAATTAGCCGCTTTTCTTAATGACTAAATCATTCCTTTAGATGGTCAATGAATAACAGAAACTATTCACCCAATAATTTTATCAAAAACAAATTTTCAGGGTGATGAAAAGTACTCACTTCCGATTTAATCTTAAGTACTGCTATTTACCATAAGATTCAATCACACTATAAATGTATACAGTTAACACACATTGATGGATATGATGATCATTACTAACAATCACTATTACTACTATTCTTTGTTTGGTCTCGAACTATGACAGCTGAGGTATCTAGTATTTCCTAGTTTTCGAAAGTTTACCAAACAAAACCAGTCGATGACGCAACCAACTCAAAATTTTATATTACTGAAAATGGTTAGTTCCCTTAATAAGTATTTTTGCAGTAATATTATCGGGTGCAGATTCAATCTCAAGCAAACATCGAAAACTAGGGAAGTGTTTTTCAAAATGGACTACATTCAAGATATCCCAATAATAAATCTCATGTATTATTAAAAGGGAAATGAAAATAGGTTTGAATTAGTGATTTCATACAAGTAAAAAACTTACAATCTAAGAATGTTTTATAATAACGAACAATATTTGGATGCCTTAGTTGTTGACGTATAACATTGACCTCATTCAATATACGATCAATACACTTTTGACGTTCATTGGAAGTTCGACCAAAAAATATTTGACTAGTACTAACCTATGAATACAGATTAATTAGAAAATAAACTGATATAAATTATGAATAAAGTTCTCTTGATCTTTACTATTGGTATTGTTTACTACTCTATTCCATGTGTCAACACATATTATTGATAACAAGAAAAATACAAATTACTTTTGTTTCTAAAATTTTCATCAATTTCACATAGACTTTTAGTGGCCCGTGGATCTGACTCCAAGATGATTGTAATGATGATTGTTGTTGAAATATATATATATATATATATATATATATATATCGCCTATCCTCGTATATAATCATTGACTTAAATCGTGTTAGTCAATAACGGAATTAAATAAGTCAAATAACGAGAATGCACTTGTGAATACATAAATTTTGCATATAAAGCGAATGGGATAGAGAGAAGAGAAAGGACGCAGAGTGGATATGGCTGGTGAGCCAACTCCCCTTTAACCAAGCTTTAATCAATATTTATAGTTACACAAAAGTAAGTTACAAACATGTGATGGGTAATGGGATAAGAAATGTACACACACCTACGCGCTCATATAAAAACAGTCAAGATTGATAAGCGAATAAATAACAAGGTCAGACTCAAGTAGAATGAATAGAATGAGCTGTCCGAAATCTAGAATAAGGTATATGGGCTTAACATAAAAACCGACACTACAGACTAAATGAATTCATAAAACTAGGAAAAAAAAGTCACAGCGATCCTCTCAGTTACCTCTTTATTAAAGTCTGTTGAAACATAATAAATAATTTAATAATAAAAGAAGATAAAATCAATTATTTAATAAACTAATATTTAAAAATTCTTTATTAGTACATAACTCCTTCAAAAGAAATAACTTACAATCGCTATAGATAAGCTAAAACACTAATATTCACACTTTTTATCTTGTTAGTGACCAGCAGCTGTATGTACCTGCATTCTAATGTCTTATATTCATACTAAGACTCGAAAAGGCTATATTTCGCTTCAAAAGCCTCGTTAATGTCAGCAGTGGTAAAATGTAAACAGTTACAAATAATATGCTCTTTGATATGAAAAACAGTCACTCGAATATCACCAGTTCATTCCATTCTTGATTTCAGTTCGTTTTTAAAAATAACGAATGTCATAACATGTAGAAAATGAATTCATTATTGAAGTTTCATATTATTAGTTCTTAACTAAATAAAGTTATACTTTGTTATTTCCTAACGAAGAATAAATATGTGGTAAATACTAGGAATTATTTATGGACTATTATTACATATATTTTTATTGGATAACTAATAAGTAACTATATTACATGTATATTCACATTCCTTTTATTATAGGGTTTCATTCGACTTATTGACTACTATCATACAACTTACTGATTTTAAGTTATTCCCAATTTATTAATTACAGTCTCTTACAGTCACAGCCGCTTTTGGCTTGATCTTCTGTAATTGTTATTTTCTATTTTATTGAATGACGCGGTCTGATTGGCTTGTATACAAGCTACTTATATCTGAAATACATGATTTATGCAATGAAAGCCCAGATTGTGTTCTATACTCAAACAGACAGGGCTAGACAAGAAGTGTCAGTAAAAACTTAGAGTTGACTCTAGGAACATTGCTCCTGAATTAACAATGAAATGGTTGTTTCAGGTTGTATTTATCCTTTGATTTATTCGCCAATTTACTTAACGATGACTTGATTATTTCAGCTGTTATATATATAAGTTAGTTAAGTTAACGAATATCCTCATTATACAATTCAGTGAAAATTACCTTTTTAATTGCATAACTATTATGACACATTTTATCTTTCGTTGCTTTAAAAACTTTACCATATGCACCAGTTCCAAGTAATTCCAATATTGAATATTCACGTACATAATGAATAGGTGTTCGATTTACGTCACAAGAAATTATACCTTCAATAAGTTCATTATATTCTTCATTCTATAGCACAAAAGAAAAAAAAGTAATCAATACAAAAATGAAACTACGTTTATTTTACTATACAAACATGAGTGAATGATGCCACATTAAATTAAATATTGAATTCACAAACCATTTTCATTTATGATCGAAATCATGAGTCAATTGAACCTAGACTACCATGGAAAACCTGGATGCACTGGACGGCTGTTTCGTCCTAGTATGGGACTCCTCAGCAGTGCGCATCCATTTATATTCTTTATCTAGAATACAACGACCTGTTACGTAACATAATAATTTATCTCAGGATTCTTAATTTCCGTAGATAAGGTGAGAATTTAGAAAAATTAAAACTTTAGATTATAAAATTACTGAATCGTTTTAGTATAAAAACTGAAAATGAATGATTGATATAATGGATATTCGATCCTGTTTAAAAATATGAGCATTTTGAAGTTTAATTTTTTTAAAAATAATCTCTATATGTATAATCAGGATGAATAATTCATTGACGGTTATCTGTTATCACCTAAAGATCTGTGAAATATAGTTCAAAAGATAAATTACAAATTAATTATATGATATACTAGACTGTTACATAATTGTAGGTAATGTTTGTGCTGAAATAGTTGTTAAACGAAATCGGATAAAAAGACAACAAGTTGAATGTAAGCGTAGTCAATAAAAAACCAAACTTTATCCTCCCCATCGTTAAAGATGATGACGTCCCAAGGATAATCAGTAAAGGGTTTAACACCGTATTAGACAGAAAGGAACCTGGAGCCAAACTACAAGTTTTGCATACAATATGTTCAATAACTCAAGAAAAGGTTGACAAGTACTTTTTTTCATGTTACCATTACCTATGTCTATAAATTTATATATCCCTCTCAATGCGGTTACATCATTCAGACTAAAAGGAGGGCTTATCCTAGATTTTTTGAAAATCTTCGTAAAACCTCAGGTCAAAAGGCAGAAAAACTTAATTTCTACACAGATCTTGGACACAAACCTTCGAGTCGATATATTTAGATCAGTCAAAGTTGATAATAAAAAGATAACCTCCAACTTCTCGTAGATTCTTGAAACTGTTGCTCTTAGGCCATCAATATCGAATTTCTGTGTCTAGAAGAAAACAGTCCTTAAAATTTCTCTGATTTGGAAAAAAAGGATCTATTTCGTTACATTATAAAATTCTTTCAACTCCCTGTCTCGATTGTTTACATTATCGCTATAATTTTCAACTACCTTTTAGGTACAATAATTACATTTTGAACTACGTTTTACGCATTCCATTTTTGTTTGTTAATTTCATCATGTGGCGTCATAGTTCTTCTAAATGAAGACCTTCTGACTCCCAGGGCAGAGTTTAAAAGGTTTGAATAATTTTTTCTGGTTAGCGTTTTTTTGGCGAGTTAGTTTTCTATGGGATGGGGACGCTAACCCCATGCCCAACCCTCCTCGTTTATCCGGGCTTGGGGCCGGCAGTAGCCCCCGGAGGGACTCCAGGCGGAGTTATTTTTGTTTGTTAGCTTTTGTTTATTATTTATTCACTTATCTCTAGTTCGTTTGTCTTTTGTTGTTGTCAATGTTATAGAACATTATGACGCATATATACATGAACAATATTTTTATTTAGTCTCTTAATTTACTTGTATCTTTGTTATACTATCCCGGTATGTTTTCACAGCAATGTTCAAAGAACATCAGTTGTGTAGTCACTTTTAACCTATTTTGTAAATTCGATTAGTAAATATTACTGGTTGTAAGTATCTGACGAGAATTTTACGAAACAAAATGAATTTATATCACTGTGCCTAATTCTTTGTTTTAACTCTCTTCAAGATACGAAACAGAAACTAGGTCTATGAAACTACATCTGTCAAATATTCCATAAAACAATCAAATTGAACCATTGACTATTTTCAATAGACAATGTTATAAAACAAAATTCATGATTTTTTTTAGTGACTTACATTCAATGATTCAAGTAGATTGACTAATTTTTGATAATCATTTGTAACTGTTGATGTGTTGATGTTGATTTCGATTAATTCCGATAATAAGGATGATGGTAAAAATGATTTGATTAAACGGCGATTATGTTCAGATATAAATAGTCTACGTAATGCACAAAATGCATTTGCCTTGTACACAAATGTGATAAGTGATACAAAAATACAGAACACAACAATGAATACAATATAATCATAAGATTATTGTGTAAAGTTAATAAGGTTTTAGTAATTGTTAAATATGAGATACGTTTCAATTAAATGGATATATATATATATATATACAACTAACGGTCATAAACTATTAATTCACTTTCGATACTTAGATATGACAACACTCATTTCTTTCAACCTTATTTATTTCAAAAGACAAATCTTACATAAACGACAAATGTCGGAGACCACAGAAGACTGATTGTAAAAAAACACATCCATCTATAAGCACATGTATAATATGCTTGGAAATAAGGTGAAACAACGAGTAAACTAAAAGACTCCAAAGTTAATAAACAATATCTTCTTCGTGTATGATAGAAACTGAAGACGGTTCTCTTAAAGAGATTTACATTAAACCAAATTCAAACTTACAAAATATCTCTACAGTTTTACATCCAATAGGAAGTCAAAAAAATACCTAAAAAGCAAAAAATATCTTTTTTGTTCTAGTCTAGGATTCTTTAAGTATGAAAACCAAATAATTAATTGTGATACCAAACTAGAAATTTCTTTGTTACTAAACACAATCGCTTTGAATCGATATTTAAAAACCCGATAGTAAACAATTTTAACTTTGGCATATTCGTTTTATGTACAAAAAATATGCACAGACCAAATTGCAACACTACGGATCATCGTCGAACAATCAGTTGAGTGGAACTCGTCACTGTACATCAACTTCATTGATTATGAAAAGGCATTCGACAGTGTAGATAGGAGGACATTATGGAAACTTCTTCGACATTACGGAGTTCCTGAGAAGATTGTCAATATTATCCGGAACTCATACGACGGACTACATTGCAAAGTAGTGCATGGAGGACAGCTGACAGATGCATTCCAAGTAAGGACCGGAGTCAGACAAGGCTGTTTACTCTCTCCCTTCCTCTTTCTTCTGGTGGTCGACTGGATTATGAAGACCTCGACATCTGAAGGAAAACACGGAATACAATGGACAGCTCAGAACCAATTAGACGATCTGGACTTCGCAGATGACTTAGCCCTCCTATCACGTACACACGAACAGATGCAGATGAAGACAGCCAGTGTAGCAGCAGTCTCTGCATCAGTAGGCCTCAGCATACACAAAGGGAAAACGAAGGTCCTCAAATTCAAAGCGGAGAACAGCAATCCAATCACTCTTGATGGCGAAACTCTGGAAGATGTAGAATCCTTCACATATCTGGGAAGCATCGTCGATAGACATGGAGGTTCAGATGCAGACGTAAAGGCGAGGATTGGCAAAGCAAGGGCCGCATTCCTACAATTGAAGAACATATGGAACTCAAAACAACTTTCAACCAATATCAAAGTGAGAATCTTCAATACGAACGTCAAGGCAATTCTACTGTATGGAGCTGAAACTTGGAGAACTACAACAACCACAATCAAGAAAGTACAAGTATTTATAAATAGCTGTCTACGCAAGATACTCAACATCCATTGGCCGGATACCATCAGCAATAGCCTTCTGTGGGAGAGAACAAACCAACTTCCAGCTGAAGAGGAAATTAGGAAAAGACGATGGAAATGGATAGGACATACATTACGCAAATCGTCAAACTGCATCACGAGGCAAGCCCTAACTTGGAATCCTGAAGGGAAGCGGAAAAGAGGAAGGCCAAAGAACACATTACGTCGGATAATAGAAGCAGATATGAAAAGGATGAATTACAACTGGAAGGAGCTGGAAAGTATTGCCCAGGACAGGGTTGGATGGAGAATGCTGGTGAGCGGCCTATGCTCCTTCACGAGGAGTAACAGGTGTAAGTAAGTAAGTAAGTACAAAAAATATATTATCGTATAAATGTAATCACTCCACCAGGTCAAAACATGGCACAAATCCATGAAGTCATTGACATGCGGACTGAACCATGTTGGCAGGTGTAGACTATCTGGTTGGGATCCGTGAGATTATAGCAAACAATGGTTAGAGACCTTGATTGGCATGGCTTAAAATCGTTCGCAATCGCGCAGGTGCATCCACTCTTTGTGTTCTCCCAAATTCTAATCTTCTGAATTCTTCATGTCCCTTATTTTTTCTCTTTCCAAATTTATTTCACTGGATTATACTCCTTGAATAACATCTTCAAACCCTAATGTTTCCGATTACTGCTTATACTCTTACTACCTCTACCACTATAGGATTTGAATCGACAATTATATCTGTGTGCTAATGTGATATGGAAACTCGAACTGATGTACGTACGTACGTACGAAGTTCTACGTTGTCAATGATTGACTGACTAGTTGAATTTTCTACACAAAGCCATTGTAAGATAAAGAATAATTTGATGTTTAAAATTGAAAATAAATAACTTACGTATAAATGACGAATATTTCCTAATCCAAATTTATTTGTATCAATTATCTGTTGATTTCCAACATTATTAGTTTGTTTCAATTCTGACTCAATTATTAAACATTGGTTTTTAACATTTTTTGAATACTTAATTAATAATTGTGAACCAATCAAATGTATACCATTTTCACGTGCAATAATTTGAGCATAAAAATCATTCATTGCCAATTTAGACAATATTCCACATATAGCTTTATGAAGAAGAAGAAGAAGAAGTAAAATATATAACCGAAAATCAAGTATTATTTATTGTTAAGCTAACAATAGACGTGGAAACTTTCTATATAATATTTATATTATATATTCTCATGAATTGGTCATAATTTACATTTAACATGAACGTTGTTTAGTAAATCTCGTTTAAGTAAGATCTAATATGAGTTTGTTCATCAACTATTCTAAACAAACAATCTATTGACTGTATTCAATCGCATAGCAATACGTCGAATAGTACCAAGATGTATTTATTTACCATCAAAGAAAATTTTCTCTTCGACGAAATCATTTACTTAAGCTGTATATTCGTATATAAAGTTATCTGGAAAGTATATGTTTATAAAAGGATAGAAAAAATTGCATCACAAAAAATGGATTCGAGAATAAATAACATAAGGCGGCCTGCTTAAGCATCTGAGCTACCTGTTCCTGCCATCTAGATATTTCAACAAGTTATTTATTTTTGTTTGTTTTAATGTATCATTATGTCTATTAATCGCATAACCTATTCTGCTGCGTTTCTGAAAAGTGTACAATCTTTCGTTGTCAAAGTTACAAAAAGCTCAAAAAGAGAGAATGTGGTTGCTGGCAATATACAACGAAAAGAATGTACATTATTCAGATGTTCATTTACTGGACTGCTAACATCTAATTGGCGATCACTCAATATTTATCGCCAGGACCGACCAAGAAGAAAGAAACGGAAACTTGTTGAAACACTTTGTGCTGAGAATTCTATATTGTACCAATAATATAATATTGAATAAAGCTAATAATAATAATTTATGGGTCAGTTAATAGTCCAATATTTTAATAAACGGAATACACTCATTAAGACATTAAATAAGAAAGATTAGTTCAGCGAAGAGTTATCTTTTCCGCGAATTCATTTTCAAAGCTGTACAATCGCAAATATATACACTTATTTTTACAGGATGATAATAATACTGATAATAAATTTGTTATACATGGTGACAGTGAGGTTAAATAAACAAAGGTATTAAAATAAAGATTTTAAAAACAAGGAAAGTTTAATAATTGTTTGATTGTTAATGGCTTAAGTATTCATCAGGTAAGGATGGCTCAGCATGATAAAATAAAATGTTGAAACAGAGATGAAATGTAATCGGAATGATCGTGGAAATAAAAACAAACCAGTTGAGGGTAGAAGATTTAAAGGGAAGGCGGGAGGTGAAGCAAATGGCTGTAAAGGAAAAAGAGTATGAAGAAGAGAAAAAATTTAATGCATTAAGACCATGGTAGAAGAAGAGGTTGTAACAGTCTCTTTTGAACACACAATTCTGGTTTTTCCAGATGTATGGCTATTGCTTCGGCAATGCAGAGAAGATGAAGTCTAATTGTCTTAGGAAGACTTCTACTTACCTTGTAGATGACTTTGAACGCAGAGTCTGTCTTGATTGAATGACCTGTGTTCACGATCATCCCGATTGCATTTCATCTCTGTTTCAACATTTTATTTTATCATGCTGAGCCATCCTTACCTGATGAATACTTAAGCCATTAACAATCAAAAAAATTATTAAACTTTCCTTGTTTTTTTAAATCTTTATTTTAATACCTTTGTTTATTTAACCTCACTGTCACCATGTATAACAGAAGTTTATTATCAGTATTATTATCACCCTGTATAAATAAGTATATATATTTGCGATTGTACAGCTTTGAAAATGAATTCGCCGAAAAGAGAACACTTCGCTGAACTAATCTTTCTTATTTTATAGTCCAATTGACAGATTCAAAGAAAAACGACAAATTAAAAGTCATAATAATAAACTGAATAATAATCAAGGTAATTATTGTTATTTAGTCTCGAATCCATTTTATGATGGAATCTTTTCTATCCTCCTAAAGACATATATTTTCCATACAACTATATATACAAATGTTCAGCTTAAGTAAATGATTCCGTCGAAAAGAAAACTTTCTTCGCTGAATTCTCTTTTTCTTATTCAATGACACTATGGCTTATTTTAATTACCATCAAAGCTAACAAGCACAACATTGTCATAATTATGACATGATAAAGAAAAACTTTCTGTATTTTATTATTATTATTATTATTATTATTATTATTATTATTATTATTATTATTATTAGCTTTATTCAATATTATAATTTTGGTACAATATAGAATTCTCAGCACAAAGTGTTTCAACAAGTTTCCGTTTCTTTCTTCTTGGTCGGTCCTGGCGATAAATATTGAGTGATCGCCAATTAGATGTTAGCAGTCCAGTAAATGAACAACTGAATAATGTACATTATTTTCGTTGTATATTGCCAGCAACCATATTGTCTCTTATTGAGTTTTCTGTAACTTTGACAACGAAAGGTTGTACACTTTTCAGAAACGCAGCAGAATAGGTTATGCGAATTATAAACATAATGATATATTAAAACAAACAACAATAGATAACTTGTTGAAATATTTAGATGGCAGGAACAGGTAGCCCAGATGCTCAAGCAGGCTGCCACATGGATTTATTAGAATTAAATACGATAAAAATATCACAAAATAAACGTCTATGTAGACTGTAGATATTCTTTACTACGAGCGATTCCGAAAAGTTAATCTTACTTTACTTTGAAATAACTAACCCTCGTCAATCTATGAAATTTTGTTTAATTTACTATAAAAGTGGAGAACTCAGATTGTGTTGATTATTTAAAAGAGCACTTAATAAAGAAGTTAAATTTCTCTAAATGGGAACTTACATGTATTACGCCGTATGGTATCTTGGTCAAAATCATGTACCTTAAGAAAAATCAATAAGAGATCAAATAACAAAATTTATTTCAGTATCATATTGTGAAGATTGTTGAGTTTTATTAAAATCACAAATCAATCTAAGTAAGATAAACATTGATAACCTGGAAGAAGTGAAAGACCGTTTTGTTCTAGTATGGGACTCTTCAGTAATACGGATCCACGACCATGCAATTGGTAATTGAACCAAGGACCTTCGGTCTCACCCGCAAATGATTGACCTCTTTTATTGGAAAAACGGTATATTTCGACCGAAAGTTTACTTAAATAATATTATTCGGTAAAGATTCAAACGTAATACTTATTACAGTAGTCTAGCTTGCTGTAAAATTTGTCAAAAGTTCATTTGTTCAGTGTACGCTGGAACTTCAAATAAATATCCTGAATGATATGTTAGAATCATAAGCACCATATAGATATCCTTGAATGATTAAATTCACTAACGAACTACTAAGTAAATATAGCTTGATGATCAAATTACACAGAAAAAGCAGTGTATTAGTAATTTATTTAGATATTCTATAATTTATTTAAACCAAGATTAATTCTGAATCCATTTCTCACTGTAAATCGAAATTAGCAAAAGAATCATCGAAAAACAGTAAATATACGTCAGATGGTTTATCCTACGACGGGATTCTTCAGGAGAGCCTACCTAAAACCCACATAAGATTGAAACCAAAACCCTATGTTTTCACAGCAAGCATCCCACACTTAGACAATTGAAAAGGAGTTCTTTAGTCCACCCATAGAACGACTATTATCTATTTTCAACACTCATAACATACTTACGCCTGTTACTCCCAGTGGAGCATAGGCCGCCGACCAGCATTCTCCAACTCACTCTGTCCTGAGCCTTCTTTTTTGGTTCCATCCAATTTTGTTCATGTCTATCTTCATTTCCCAGCGTAACGTGTTCTTTGATCTTCCCCTTTTCCTTTGGCTTTAAGGATCCTAATTGAGGGCTTGTCTTGTGACGCAGTTGGGTGCTTTCTTCAATGTGTGTCCTATCCACTTCCATCGCTTCATCCTAATTACTTCCTCCACTGAGATCTGGTTTGTTCTCTCCCACAGTTGGTTGCTGCTAATAGTGTCCGGCCAACAAATCCGAAGTATTTTACGTAGACAACTGTTAATAAACACCTATATTTTCTGGATGATGGCTTTCGTAGTTCTCCGGGTTTCCGCCTCATACAGTAGAACTGTCTTGACATTTGCATTGAAAATCCTGACATTGGTGTTGGTTGACAGTTGCTTTGAGTTCCAGATGTTCCTCAATTGTAAATATGCTGCTCTTGCTTTGCTGATCCGTGCCTTCACGTCTGCATCACATCCACCATGTTCACCAATGATGCTGCATAGATATGTAATGGTTTTTACATCTTCCAAATCTTCTCCGTCAATTGTGATTCGATTGGTGCATGCTGTGTTGTATTAGAGAATCTTGCTTTTCCCTTTGTGTATATTGAGATCTACTGCTGCTGAGGCAGCTGCCACACTGTTCTTCTTCTGCATTTGTTGTTGCGTTTGGAATAGAAGGGCCAGGTCATCTGCGAAGTCTAGATCGTCCACCTGCATCCTAGATGTCCATTGTATCCCGTGCTTCCCTTCAAATGTTGATGTCTTCATGATCCAGTCGATCATCAGGAGAAAGAGAAAGAATGAGAGTAAGCAAACTTGCCTGACACCGGTCTTTACTTCGATCGACTTTGTCAACTGTCCTCCATGGACGGTTTTGCAGTTTAATCCATCATAAGATATTGACTATCTTCAGAGGCACGCCGTAGTGTTAAAGAAGCCTCCACAGTGTTGTCCTGTCCACGCTATCAAATTCTTTTTCGTAGTCAATGAAGTTGATGTAGAGTGATGAAATGCATTCAACTGAAAGTTCCACAATGATCCATAGAGTTGCGATTTGGTCTGTACACGATCTATCCTTACAGAATCCTGCCTGCTGGTCACGAAGTTGGGTGTCTATGCAGTCCTTCATCCTGTTTAACAATATCCTGTTGAAGACTTTTCCCGGTATTAAGAGAAGAGTGATGCCCCTGTGGTCATCACACTTGCTGAGATCGCCTTTCTTCGGTATTTTGATCAAAAGTCCTTCTTTCCGGTCTGTTGGTACTTGTTCCTCATCCCAAATCTTATTGAAGAGAATGTGGAGTATTCTTGCAGTTACCGCTACGTCTGCTTTCAGTGCCTCTGCTGGAATGTTGTCTGGTTCTTTTGCTTTCCCACTCTTGATTTGTCTGACGGCCATCCTGATTTCTTCAATTGTTGGTGGGCCAACATCGATTGAGAGGTCCGTGGGTGCTGCTTTGATGTTGGGTGGGTTCAGTAGGGCTGGTCGATTCAAGAGTTCTTTGAAGTGTTCTACCCACCCGTTTCGTTGTTCTTCAATGTTGGTGATTACCTTGCCCTACTTGCCTTTCACTGGTCGTTCTGGCTTACGGTGGTTTCCATAGAGTTTCTTTTGTTATATCATACATTTCTCTCATGTTTCCTTCTCTTGCAGCCTCTTCCGCCTTCATTGCTAGATCTTCCACATATTTACGTTTGTCAGTTCTGATGCTCCTCTTCACTTGCTTGTTTACTTCTGTGTATTCAGCTTGTGCCTTGGCTTTTTCTGCTCTTGTTCGACTGGTATTAATTGCTGCTTTCTTGTTCCTCCTTTCTTGAATCTTATCCAGTGTATCAACAGTGATCCATTCCTTGTGATGATGCTTCTTGTGGCCCAGAACCTCATGGCATGTTGAAGTGATTGCCTCTTTGATCCCCTTCCAGTTGCTCTCCATAGTAGTTCCTTCTCCACAGTGATAACTATCTCATTTTAAATATCTTTGGCTAAATAGTTAATGATGTCAATTTATATAAAATTTTAAAGACTAATTATCTAAATAAAAATTTAATTGTCATTATATCCATGTAAACCAACAAAGGATTGAGAAATGAAAAAAAAACAATCCATATTCTTTAATATGTATTTATTTTAAATCAGATAATTTATTCATAACTTCCAATTTAAGCTATAAAAGTTAGCTCACCAATTTTGTTTCACAGGGACATTCTTCCGAAGTGTTTACGGCGTTTGTCGACGAGTTCACATAGACTGAACAATTAGACAGTTCTCTTATGCTTCTAGGATTGTTTAAATTGGATTCGAACTGCAAACATACTCTGAAATTTATTGGAATATTATTTATATCAACTTTATCATGAGTAAATATCATATTTTACCAAAATTTCATTTGAGATATTTTAAGAATTTTCCTAAGGAATTACAGATGAGACTGTTTTACCAAAATAATATAATTGGTAAATTACTAATTGTCATGTGTCTTAGCCACAAATACCCTTGAAAAATGAAGTTAAACGCTGACATCGAACAAATGATTAACATATCGATAATATGGGATAAAAAGGCTAGATTATGGTTTTTTAATTCACTATGATCGTTGCTAAATATTTATCTGCCTATGCTCCTCCACCAGGGGTAACAGGCATAAGTAAGTATGTATTTGCTAAATATTACTTCCTTTTTTAAAGTTAGTGTGGTAACTGCTCAGAATAATATTTTTATTTTTAGTGTAATGATCAGCTGAGCATAAGATTGGTTTCACTTTTAGTATGACGTTTATTCACGATATAACATTCTTTGTAATAGTACAGCGTGAACAATGTTTAGCATGACATGCAGTATGTGGTTTTATTATAAATCTAGGCATTTTACATATATGTGTTGTTTTGTTAATGAATAATCAAGTGGGTCCACAAATCAATATATAACTGAGTGTATTTTCGGCTAGTATCGCCGTGTTTTGAAATTAGTACGTTTTCACGTGTACCACTCTTTGTATTTTTACTTTCCGTTGTCGGAATTGTAATGGTTTCTCTTTTCCAAGTATAAATAATAAGGCGACGGGAATTTAATACACAGTTCGTTTTATTTTGTTCAACTTGAACCCAATAATCGAATAAACACCAATGATATTAATGAAATATTTGCATAGACTTCAGAAAAGTTACACAGTTTGAAACGGAAACTATTTTGGTGGTCAGTTCTTAAATTGCTGACTAAGTAACCTGAGGATTTAAAATAAACATGTGGAGAATCAAAAGTGATTAAGTGTTGGTTACGACTAACGATTTAAAATCATGACAGTTCTTCTGTAGGATGAAAATGGCATACTGTAAAAACAAAACACTTTGTACATTTCGTGCAAAATACGCGGATTATGTAGATCCAATAATTGAAAATAGCGTAAAATCAAACTGAAAACCGGGCTTTATGGTCGATGTTACTGTTATTATATTCACCTTATTGATTTGAAAACATAAATATTCCACGTCAAATATGACCGATAAGTAGCACTATAAAACGGATCGATAACTTATTAATAGATACAAATCACTCTCAACTACTAGATTCCGGGCATAAATCTTACATTATCTACTATGGTTCTGGTAGCTTACTAAGTATTACTAAACCTCATACAAAAAGGATTAATTCATAACCGAGTGCATGAACTATTTCACCTGATCACTGAGTGGGAGAAGAAAAGTAAATAATTTATGCTTCGTTGTCAAAATAAACAGTTAACTCCTGTACACATAATATCTCGTATTTATAATTACATAATCACTGACTAGTAACCACTGTGATGTTTTTTAGTTCTTCATGCTAGTTGATGTCTATCGATCAAATTAAAATGTGACCAATAGCGCAAAGTGAATTGATATAGCCAACACTATGTTAAGGTATTAAGTGATTAGAGGCAGGCGGTAGGAATCTCTTGACGCTCTTAATCGTCAGCGGGAAGTACCTGAAACCACTTAACATCTCGAAAATGTGAATGTAATCTTGATTCAAATAGACTAGTGGATACATTGCAAATTGATTGGTGGGTATTTATTAGTAGTAAATCACCCGATAAATATGACGCTGGTGTTTACTCAACAGTCGGTCGTTGATAGCGTCTCAGACTGAGGAACCGGACAGCGCGATTTTGAATTACAAAATAAGTATTAGTTCCCTCAAGACTGCAGTTGCACCTCACTGACGAGATCAGCTAACACGAAACCTAAATCCAAGATTACCTGACAGCTCAATAAAACCACCTTAAACAAATTCTCATGTTTAATATTTGCGTATAAACGGAAGATGCAGCGTATTCACTTTCAACTTTGATTTGAACGTTATCAGATTCAGATGATCACATATATAATGGAAGGTGAATTATAACCCTTGAATAGACTTTTCTATTGAACATTATGGTGCAGATCATCAAAATAAAAGAAACGATGACTTATTCAATGATTAAAAGGTATGAGGAATACATATAAAGTTAGGAAAAGACCTAATTGTCAATTCTACGAACACTATTCAATTAAAATAAATTAAGTTAGAACCCGGGACACATTGATACGGCTAGAATATGAGTTATATATCACGTAATAACGCCTGCTACGTAAATTTAAGAAAAGCAAACTTATTGAGAATCCATGACGTTACTGACTGAAATTTATTTATTCAAATATTTAAACATGAAAATAACCTTTGCCTGGTTACCGTAGATAATTAAAATCGATTTAATTGGCAAGTATGTAATTACTGCTTCTCTTGCTTTAAACATCGAACTTTCATTCATTCTTTGTGTATATTTTATTAATTTTGATACAATTTATCTTCTAATTATTTTCCAACTCTGTGATACAGTAACCTAGTTTATCAAAGTGAGAGAATGTACATTGATGTTCTACCAATCTGGAATCTCGTACATATAATGATAAGAAATGAAATACTGTTTCTTTGTATAAAGCTATAATCTACCTTAAATAATTCAATAAAATTGGTATTCCGTTATGATTACGAAGAATTCGTTGACATTTTGATATTTTTGTTAATTTTTCTAAACATAATATAATGTATGTTGAAAGAGAAGTTAAATTTTCAATAATTCCATTCATTTCAATTGGTTGAACGAATGCAAAATAATCAATTATTTTGAGAATTTTCAAAAGATTCTCTTCATCAATTTTAGTTCTTTCTAGCGGTTTCTGTTATTATATAAAAAGCATGCGATAAAAAAATGATTTAAAATCAATTAAAAAAAGAGTTGTATCAAAATGATACAAAATAGAATAGGTATAGTAAGATACGGAGGATCCACCTAGGGGAGTTGGAAAACCTTGATTCCAAACCAATGATGTACAAATGGCGTATGAACCAATTGTTGGTCATCGGTTAACACGGGACTGCATCTCCTTACGTTTCTCCACTGCCTTGTGGATTAGACATTTAGGTCAAAGGCTCGAGGTGTGGTCCCCTAAGAAAACCAACTGTTTCGGTTTGGGCACCCAGGCAGTATCCCAGCCCTCACATAAATCGAATGATTTATGTGGCACATATCTATTTGGTGCCTTCTTGTGCCAATGTTTATGTGTTTAAGTAAATAGTATTAGTAGTAGTAAGCAAACATTTTAAAAACTAGTGTACTTTTATTTACTAGAATTTTATCTTAGTAATTAATAGTAAATAATCATTAAACAATATGATCAGTAAGAATGCGAATAGCATATATGAACGATACAGTTATTTTTAAAAAATACTGATAAACTATTTCAGTAATCTTATCAGAATTTTTTAGGAAACTTTTAAGGTATCGTTTATCAATGACTGACATCAATTGTAGGTATCATTACAAATCGTAAAGTAATAGTCAAAAGTTTCGTTTATATTTGAAACCCATTTTATTACTATTAATGACACTATTCAATATTATATTTTGGATGCAATATAGAATTCTCAGAACAAGATATTTCAATAAGTTTCCTTTTCACATATCTTGGTCGATACTGATGATAAATATTGAGTGATCGCTAGTTAGAAGTTAGCATTTCGAGAATAAACATCTGAATGATGTTCATTCTATTTAATGTATATATCCAGCCACCATGATGTCTCTGACTATACTTTTTCGTAACTTGTACAGAGAAAAATTGTAAACTTTTCGTAGGTTATGCAATTAATCGACATAATTATGCGTTAAAACAAACAAAAACAGATAACTTGTTGAAATATCTAAATGGCAGGAACAGTCAGACCAGATATTCAAGCAGGCCGCCAAGAAATAGTGAAAAAATACTACACAACGAACTGATATGAAAACCTACAAATCATACAAAGCCTAAATAAAATCGTCTAAATAAATAATAATCATATGCTTACTATAGGTCAACTTAAAAATGAATATGTGAAGATAAATTTCCGGAATGTCTAGATTAAAATTGGTATAGATAGAATTAGTTACTAAATTAATGCAGTAACTCACCTATGAAATTGAGTAAGAATCACAATATCGTTGATTGACTGAGATCAATACGTATAGATCACTTAGCAGTATAACGGTAGTGTGCTAATCACACTTCCTAAAGATACTTGGATTCCGTGTAAGATCAGGAATACCGAAAGCTTGGGAATTAAAAATAAATGTCTAATACTTCTTATTTTCCGTTGATTTATCAAATGATACCAGTATATAATAAAGACGATTATGTTAATCAGTTACGAACGAGGACTGACCACAAGCTAAGAAGCTCACTCGCTTCAATGATACAGAATATATTTCACATAAAACTGATAGTTTATCTTTCCAGAGGTTAATATTATCATCATTTGTTTAAAGGATAAAAATGTAGAAGATTATCTCATGTGAATACACAGAATCTGACTCACTGAAAGTTTAAATTGCTTTCAATTTTACTGAACTTTTTTAACGGTAAACCAAAACGGTTCAGTAACAATACTTACCAAGGATTCATGTTCACTTGAAATTAATGATAAAAGTTTCGGTATCAGCAATGGTTTTGTTGACAAACGTTTCAAGTAATCATCGTCTTCGGTCAATACATGAAGTAAAAGTAATTTTAACCTTGATGAAATTTAAAACAATCATCACTGTGATAAAAAGTTAATTGGAAGTATAAAATTCTTAATAGAAGTGGTGTTAAAGTAGAAAAAGGAACAGAATTAAAAACGTAATTTCAGCTGGCTTCTGAAAGAATATTCATCTTTATTGGAATTTGTTATGATAGTGATTTGAATCAATCCGTAAGTTTATTTGATAAAAGGAATCTAAAAGCGAACATCATGTCGTCTCAAAAACCCATATATAAGTAATAAAAAAATGATTTTTAAAAGCATATACTTTCTAAAACAGTAATACCGGTTGAATTTTCATGAGGTTTAAAGTAAACTCTTAAGGGGTCGGAACCATGTAGACTTATGAATAACAGTGTTTAACCGTCTTCACAATAATGTTCGCTCGTTCATATCTAATAATTCCTAAGTATCTTTATGTTAAATATTTGAAATTTGTTAGTATGAACTTACTGTAAAACTAGATGTCATGACTATTGAGTGTATTTTTAATAATTAGGAATTTCGCACTATCTAGAAAATCAGGAATCACTTCACCTTCAGCCGTACTGATGTATATTCAGCAACCACTCATGCCCTAAACCGATCAAGTAAACCGCCTACTGTTCACTTGAGCAGTAATCTATGTAGTGAATATAATAATTTACCAAAAAATTTGGGAATATTCTTCCTCACCAAAGATAGAAACAAAATGTACCACCTCGACGTGAAACGGCTAACTTAACCACAGGACTGAGCTGTGCTATTTAGATTGTATTACAAAATCTTAGGTGGTGTCTGTCTCCCCTGAAAACAAATCTAAAATTACCCTACATCAGGGTATATTTATAAATTTTGAATATTTACGAGATAGGATTTAATGACGAATATATTTAAAATAGTCCTTAGGACATGGACGCTGACATGGCTCACTATTAAAAGACTGTACTGCACACAAGAATAAGATTTTTTTCAGTAATCAATCCACTATGTTGATTAGTAATTATAACCTCATTTCTAAGTAATCTAAACAATATTTTTAGTAGTTGAGATCACTAGTCAACTAAAACTAGGCCACCATGGAAAACTTGGAAGCACTGGACGGTCGTTTCGTCCTATTGTGGGACTCTTCAGCAGTGCGCATCCACGATCCTTCCCTCCCCCCGCGAGATTCGAACCCAGGACCTATCATTCTCGCGAGCGAGCGCTTAACCACTAGACCAACGGTGTTAATGTCTAGCTTCAACTAATCCATGAAATTGGGCGACATATCCACCATTGTCACCAGTGAGTTACCTCACAACAGACCTGGTCGAACTCCACTGGTCACTGCTCGTCACTAGAACATCAGGATCTACCTATTGAAGCAAGTCACTAGTGAACATATGTTGTTTTGTGGATATTATAATAATTTCAGTAGTTGAAATCATGAGTCAATTGAAGCTAGACCACCATAGAAAACACGGAAGTAATATTTTTATTTACTGACAAAAACAAATTGTGAAACCATCAATGTTAAACCACTATTGAAAACCTAGAAGAACTGGATGGCCATTTTTTCCTAGGATGGGACTCCTCAGAAGTGTGCATCCTCGATAGAATGACGGTCTAACATTGGTTGGTTCATGATTTCAATGAAACCCAACAATTTCTTAACCTTGTAACTTACAATAATCAATTAAACAGTATATTATAAACAACCGCAGTACAATATACTACATAAAATATGAACATCATTGTGAATACAATCAACTAGATTTTCCTGTATCAGGGTCCTAGAGAATATAAAATTTTCATTAATGATTCGTAAAGAAATATTACACAATTGTCAAACTGTATACCAACCAAACGACTTAAATATTACATTTTCGGTGGTGTAGCTACTGAAATATATTTTAAGTAGCACTGTTCGTTTCGGAAATGAAATAATCCTAAAAGGGGCAAAAATCGTCTATATTAAAGATGATGATCTTGCAAGAAACCAGTGGTAAATGGGAAGGCATTATGTGATCGAATCAAACCGAATCTCAATGGAAATTCACTTCATTCCAAAAAAAAACATCACTATACATACTCACTTACTTACGTCTGTTACCCCTCATGGAGGAACATAAGTCGCTCGCCAGCATTCTCCACCCAACTCTGTACTGGGCAATCCTTTCCAGTTCCTATTCGTCTTTCTCATGTCTGCTTACAATTCGCGACGTAGTGTGTTCTTTGGCCTTCCTCATTTCCGTTTCCCTCCAAGATTTCAATTTAGTGCTTGCCTTGTGATGCAGTTTGATGATGTCCGTAATGTGTGTCCTATCCACTTCCAAAGTCTTTTCCTAGTTTCCTCTTAAGTTGGAAGCTGGTTTCTTCTTTCCCATAGTACACTGCTGCTGATGGTGTCCGGCCAACGAATACTGAGTACCTTTTGTACACAATCGTTTATAAATACTTGTACGTTTTTGATGATGGATGTGGTAATTCTCGAAGTTTTAGCTCCGTATAGTAGAACAGTCTTGACGTTCGTATTGAAGATTGTGATTTTGATGTTGACTTGCATACAGTTGTTTTGAGTTCCATATATTGTTCAATTGTAGGAATGTTGTCCTTACTTTGCCAATACTTACCTACACTTCTACATCGGATCCTCCTTGTTCCGCTGATTCCCAATACTGCTAATTTGTATCTCCTAATTCCCGTTGCTATTTGACTAGTTATCCCGGTCTCCCGAATTGTCCGAACGTTCCATGTACCCATAAAAATTGTTGCTCTGGTTGTTAGAAGGGACATTGGCCTGGTGGCTTCCGAAGAATATCGGCTTTCATCATGAGGCGTCATAATTCTTCCTTCAACTCCCAGAGCACGGTTTAAATGATTTAATTTGTTTGTTCTGGTTAGCGTTTTTTAGCATGGCTGTTTCCTACAGGATGGAGTTGCCGACCCCACGCCCAACTCTCCTCCTTTACCCGGGCTTGGGACCATCAGTAAACCTAGAAGAGCTACAGGCGGATGTGCTACTGCCCCTAAGTGCCCTGGTACGGTCGAGTGTGGGAAGAGTCCGCTCTCCCTCTCGAAATGCCCTCACGTGGCCACGCGTATATAGCCACTCAATAGGAACTCCTAATTACTGCCTTTTCGCAGCATGTGTGTTGCTTACGAAATTAGCAGAACGAAAAGATAATGTCCGGCGCTTTAATCACGTTGGTAGACACGGATGACCCACATACAGGAGTTGGAAAACCCTGATTCCAAAGCAGTGGTGTACATAGGCTCCAGGATTCTGAGAGGGAAAAGGTATATAAACATATTGTTGGTCACTGGGTAGCATGGGACCGCATCTCCTAAAGTTGCTTCACTGCCTTGTGGATTAGACCTCCAGGTCAAAAGCTCGGGGGTGGTCCCATAAAAAAACCACCTGCATCAGTCTGGGCACCGGGGCAGTATCATAGCCCTCACGCAAATCAGTGATGACTGCTACTGGCCTCACTGTTATTGTGTGGAGCATATGTATTTGGTGCCCTCTGTACCAATGTTTATGTGTTCAAATAAATAAATAAATGTTATAATCAAGTTTAAGTAGTTCCACGCGTCTCTTCTAAACAATTAACAAAAATCCGGTCTTAAACTTTAGTTAAGAGAATATTTTAAAACTTACAATAACATAATCATCAAGTACTACAGAGAGAAGAAACTAATTGATAAATTCTCTTTTATTTGTGTGCAGTAATTTTATTCCAAAATATCGAATTTTCATAGCTCCTTGGAAGAAATATAAGCACAAAACTCGTGTCAGTAATACTAAACATAATGTCATACTTTAATTTTTAGCTCATCGAAGTGATTATTCAGTGATTAAATACCTCAGATACGATCTCCGTTTAAGATATTATACTATTTTAATGAGTGACTGAATAAATATACTAACAATTAACTATTACTTTAGAGATCATATCATTAAAACAATCGAAATGAAAACTTGCAATTTTAACGCAGGGGGATAAATTATGACAGATGCTGTTTTATATTGTATTAAATTCCATCTAGAAGAACAAGAATCGCACGTTAGATAGAAACATTTCAAAATATAAACAGTATGCAATTTGGTAAGATAATATGTATATTCAAATTAATACTATTTCTAACATTACAAGGGGATAAAATCAAAATCATTTTATAGTTTTAGTGCACTAGGAAAGCATAAGTTATTTGACTGCTCTGAAACCAAAGGCCGATAACTTTACGATCACTTCTATTCTTTTTCTACCATCGTTAAACTGATGATTAAAATTTCATATCAACGTTGGCAAGGGTTTAATATGCCTATTAAATGTCTTAAACAGCATAGTTGATGGAAGATAACGAACTTATCAACAATATTTTAGGCAAATTTTGATCAAAAGAAAAATCGCTATTTAAATAAACCAGGAAAGTCATTCACAAACTCTTGCATATTTTTTACATAATGTATTTTGACAAGATGTACCGAAGAAATAATCAAATAAGAGTGTCATTAACCTGCCATAATAATGATTAAAATGACTTCAACAATGAAATAATGGCTATATAAGTGCGGATCAAAAACGATTCGTATTTAAAACAATTACCGTCTCTCAACCTGATCGATGTAGGTCGAATTTTGTAACATTGCATGAACATTTACTGTTTCACCAATCTAATATATTAATCGACCAACTCTAACGTAGAAACCTTCTGGCTCAAACAAACTACAGGGTAGAATGCATATTAATTCACATGGCCATCTGTAAATGTTTCGACATCTGTAATGAAAAAATATACTCCATACTCAGGTTTACTACAGAAACAAAAATCAATCAAATCGAAAGAAATTTTGTAAAAGGGATAATGAGAATAACAGAGCCCAAGACAAATAACTTCCAAAAACAGCATTTTCCAGAGATCTGTGTTTATCAGAAACTTACACAATATTTATAACTGATACACTAAATATTCAGTTTAGTACAAAAAGATGAAAGTTTTCTAACATTCAAGAAATATTAATTCTATCTTTCGTTTTAAGTACTACTATGTGAAATCGCACAGACTAATAGAAACAGATTATTCGGCAATTATGATGTAACTTTAAGTAGGTCCCAGGTGTGATGATGAAACATAGACACTTAGAATCATACCAAAAACACAGCTTAATATAACATTATTTAGAACAACTTAGATCTACCTAGTGCGAAAAGCATATGTTGTCACTGTTGTACTCAAGCATTTTGTGAAAAATAGCTAAGTTAGACAGAATTTGTGAGAAAAACACTTACATTATAACACCAGTTCCTAATGATAGAGGTCTCAAACTCGTCCATTTTAGTGTCTCAATAAATGAAATTTTTAAGCTTTTATTAACTCAATTTGAATATTAGTAAACACTAAGCCTTCGATAAAGGATTTGGTGGAAATTTCGTAACACATTATTAATATAACTGAATCTACCACAGACTAAAGATTTTATTATGTATTTGATCTTAAAGATTGGGTAGTGAAGTTCACTAAATTACCAACATGGCAGGGATATCCGTCAGACTAATTGACAATATTTTGTAGTATTACCCATGCATATAGAAAATAGATAACACTCTATGACAAAACCACCACAGATCTGTCGTTATTTACATTTGTTTCATGAATCTATTTATGGCCGAACTGGGCTACCAATACCGACAGTCAAGCACCTACAGACTGTATTCACAGATTTCCGTATTAACCTCCCAAAACTTATTTATCTATGATTTATTATGAGGTCAAATAGAGATTTGATTTTTCATAAACATCTTGGAAAGAGTAGCAGGAGAGTCGTAGTTAGCGAATAGGAACTAAGAAAAGTCCTTTTGATAGGGTTACAGGCAAAAGTCATGAAACCACGTTTCTCATTTGATAATGTTCGCAAGCTACTTACAACACCATTAAAAGACAGTAACAATTGTAATGACGTACATAGGTCATGAAAATGAAGATTTGGATCAACGTTATCAGTCAGCGAATCATAGACAACATACAAACTCAGCAAATCAGAACGTTCGGCGCAACAAAGTCATACGAAAAAAATATTACTGATGATACCGTAACGCTGAATCTTAAAACATTTCAACACAGAACTTGAAGGGAACTATAACCCTTAGTCTTCAAACTTCTAAAACTTAGATCTAGAGGGTGTTCGGTTTAATAACACAACTCACTTATTCTCATTCATGTGCGTACACAAGCCACACTGTATTAAATTAGCAATACGAAATCGAGGTGAGATATTTTTGACCTACTATCAAGTATATACACCGAACAGAACTACAAAATATAAAATTGAATAAGTTAAGGCTCCCTAAGTCCACTGAAGTTTAATTAGCAATACCTTTGAAGCTGTAGTTTTTCCCTTCCCAAAGAATCCTTGAAGTACCTTATCTTATTACAATATATCGTCTAAAATTAAAACTTCACTCAGTGCATAAACCCAACATTGATAAAAATCACTTAGGTTTTAATAGTACAATTTTGTAATCCTTGAATGTTTGATATACGATAAAATACCAAGGACAGCCATAGGTTTAAATCAAGTGTAAAAATGAGAATGTATAACGGTTTGCGTCTATGCAAGTATGTTATTGTTCACATTGCACCTGTAGGCACGTTGTGTTATAGTAGAGTGAACGACTAGATCAGTTGGCTGGAATTACAGTTTGATCAAATCCTTAGATAAAATGAGAATTAACTCTTGACTCAATAAGTTTCCAAATAACTGTAATTGCCTAATTAAATGTATAGATCCAACCAACCCGAATGTCTCACCATATCCGTATATGCCGCTACGCTTTTTGTGTAGCGACTGATGAAAGTGCATATGTTAAAACAGCTAACATCCATTATCTTTGTGGCAGATAGAGCAGTCTACCGAACAGTTATAACAGGCAGTATTTTAAACAAGAATAGGGGGGATAAAAGAATAACAGCAAGTACACAAGTATTTTAATCATTTGATTGATTAAGGAAATGGGCAAACAGTTGTTAAGTTAGTGAATGTAGTAATCTCTGATCCAAAGGAAGATGGCAAAAACGGGTCTCTGAGAGGTTTTCCAGTGTCCTCTACAAAATGCCCGCCATAATAGCCTTTCTTACATTTGCTGAAGAGTTCAGGTTGACTATTATTCAGAAATGATATCACGGGTCTTAATGTTTAGGTTAAAATTGAACTGTTTTTGCTTGGCTGATACGGTTTACTTTGTCTGTATTACATCTTCAGGTCACCTCATATCCTTTTTAACTCGGTTGCATGACACCTAGTTACTTACGTTTTTCTCTTATGGTTTTATCCTTAATCCTGTAACCCACTTCGTTATACGTCCTTTAACCTTCCCAAAAGATCTTCATCCCCTTAGGGTAAAGGCAATGCAACAACGTAAATATTTTTGAAGTCAGGTGATTTATGGTTTTTAGTGTTAAAACAGTTTCGGGGTGAATGTGCGACGTAGTCGCCCTACGAAGTGGAGAGCGGTGCTCAGTTTTATTAAATGGCCAATGAAAATTGGGCTTTCAGATAGTCTCTTCGTAATTGACACACCTATGTCAGGCTAAGAGTGTTATGGAACAGTCACAAAAAACGTTGATTACACACGATGAGCAAGGTTGAATATACACTATACAGCACCAAAACAGGTTTCGTTTCAACCGTTTTTTCCATCCTACCAACCCTATATCAGGATATTCCTTTGAAGTTCACTTGGATATTCTCCTTTCTAATGTTTCTCCAGTCGTAGTTAATGAGAACCGGTAAACCACTTTAACACAAGACACTGTTTATGAAAATCAGAAAGAAGTGTCTCAGAATGCATCTCTATGAGTAGTATCTCTATGTAGTATCTTCAGTACTGTGCTCATTGCGCCCGGAACATCTGGTTTCTCATGTTATTTTGGAACTAAATAAGAAGTGAATTAGTTTAATTTATCTTCAAAATACTTCTTATGAAGAAAACATTCGGTATTATTTCTATCGCTTTGACAAAGAGAAGGATTGAGGAGTGTGGTTCAGAAATACAATGATAATATCGGTCATCACATTCACAGGCGCAATCTGTTCGGCTGATGAGTTGGATAATGGCTGGCGTTGGAATCCAGGACGCGCGTTTCGTCCTAGTTGAGACTCGTCAGCTGGAGGTACCTGCATCTTAGAGTTGATGTTCATTTTGTGACGCTAATACATCATGCTGACGAGTCCCAAACAAGACAAAACACGCGTCCTGGTTTCCAATGCTAGCCACTATCCATCTCTGCTTATAAAAGAACCGGTAGTTCGAGTAAAATACTACAACCGCCACAACTCAAATGATAATCTAAATTTCTATAACCGATTATATTTCTCCTTCATAGGTTTATCGTGTGTCTGTCCGACTGTGTATTGGATGTGGACTTTGCATTATCTAGAATACAGTCATTAGTATGAGAATCGGAAGCAGAAATCGGGACGAAATCACCTGGTTCCCGGTTGTGTGTACATAAATTATTGACATATGGAGTTTGAACCAATCGTTTTTCCAAAATTATCTACACAATCGTTGGGACTGGTCGAAGATCACTTCCACAGTAATAAATATCATATGCAGACTCTACACATCTCATAATTGATAAAAGAATTATTCCCCCTAGTAGTCTACTACGCTCATCAAATGTTGAAACAGCAATGGAATAAATAGAAGTTTTCAAAAGTCTGGTGAATTTTTCTGCTTTTCCAACAGAACAAGGGCGTTTTGGAGCAGTGCACAGATGTTTCTACCCTTCACCACCCAACCAAGTGAAAACAGCGTTTGCATCAAAATGAGGGCCACTATTAGCCACCAATACCATAGAAGCCTCGTGTCGGCTCAAAACCTTTCTTAATGCTCAGATTGTGGGGTCAGGATTTCTTGATGTTGCGAAAAAAACTTCAGGTCACTTAGAAACACAATCACTGACAACAAACGCATAGCATTTGTCAAGATGTAAGCCACAAGAGTTTGCATGAACTAACCGCCAGGCCTCAGACGATACTGGCCACGGAGTCCACCTCCTTTGCTGTACGACATAAATCCGCGTTTATCTCTGGCCACCAACATGTGAGCCCAGCGAAGAACTTAATTTCCTCAACACCTGAAGGTCCACTGTGAAGATCTTCAAAGACAGATTTACACAATGAAGTAGGTATAACGACACGATCATTTAAACACAAAATGCCATCAGAAGTAGTGGATAACTCATACCGCTTAGAAAAAAGACAAGAAATCTAAGTTTCAGATTAACATAGCAACATTTCCGTATGGCACTGAATATACATCCAAAGTATCTACGAGTTTTTCTAATAGCAAAGTTTGCACAACAAACAGTGTGAAGTATTAACAGGTCTATCTTGCAAAGATTGTTGAGAAATATAGTCGACGTGTTGGATTTGTTTGGCACTTCTGTGCTGAACCGTATATTCATAGGCACTCAAAGCAATACTCTGTCGTTGTACCGTAGCAGTTGAGGAACGGGCTAAATATTTTTCAGGATGATAAACAAACTCTGAAGCTTCATGTTAGATAACAACAGTGAATTTCTTCGCGAATGAATATTTATGAAGTCTTTTAACTGCCAGAAACACGGCTCATGCTTCTCGCTGAGTTTATGAATAGCCTGGTTCAGTAACAGTAAGTTTGCGTGAAACACAAATATCTGGTCTACCTTCCTGCTCCAAAGCTGCACCCGCAAATAATGCTTCAGTAATTAGTACAGAGTGTACACTAAGTGAGTAAGTTTGATGAACAGCATCACTTTAAAGAAACTTTAGTATGTAGTGGCGTTGGACCATAACCACACAATCCTCAAAGCTGAATACGAGATTACTCGGAAAATAGATATTCAATATTTAACGTGGAGAAGTACCTAACGATGGAGAAGGCGCGAACAAGGAATTGAATGAGTTGGAGTTGTCCGAATGGCATGGCTCGGCCATGCAGGCGTGGTCTCTGCCGAACATTACCTTATATCTTTTATTCATATTAAATATATTGTTCTTCCTCCAGCACAAGCTTGTTCTTCATCATGTATTGGTAGTTGTTACGATACAGTGAGTTGGTGTAGACGATGATGTGACTTCCACGTAAGATCTTATAGATTAGGCAGTTATATCATGACATATCTACAATTTTAGGATTAGGCCTATTATTAGAGCAGTACTAATATCATAGTAGACATAATTCTACAAGTATACTTCGTAAGCATGACTTTTTCTTCACATCGTTTAAATGAATCAGATGTCAAAATATTAAATAAACAAATAATACGAAAACAATTAAGAATAAAACGGAAATAGTATTAAAGAATACCTACTAGTGAACGTAGTTCTGTAAGATCTTTCGAAGATGGCGTATTTGTCAATGGAGCTAGTCGTTTTATATCTGGTCTAAAACCATCACCACCAACTAGATATCCAAGATATTCAAAACCAGAAACACCAGACGAACAGTTGCTTGGATTCACCGTAATATTCTTCTCAGCTGAACGATGCAATAAAGCGAATTCTCTGACTATGAGTTACTCTGTCAGGACCATGAATAATAAGATCATTTTGGTAAACTTCATCACCTTGTAGTGACTCACATTTATCACAAGGACACGACTGGTTTAATAAAAACAATTATTATTATAACCAACTGTACCAGTGTTTGTTTTAATGTGCTTTTGTTTGACTGTGCTAATGACAGCTGTATTGTGCTTCCATTCTTTTCCTTACACTTTGATTGTAACTTCGCGCGAATTCGGTTACGTTCTGGTACGATCTCGGTATCCTTTCGATACCACGAGATCGCCAGCAAATATATATTGACTTGGTCCATTAACTGCCTTCTGATATTAGGCTTCTCGGGGATTTTATGGATTTATTTGGTTACGTTCAACCCTCGCCTTCTGATTTACTTGGCACGTGTTTATCGGTAGCGGTGTTCATAGTTAATCTCGACTCGACACCACGCTACAACCTTCACTATCACTGACTGCATTATTCATAACTTTCCGAAATATAGCTGGAGTACAACTTAAACCAAGTAGACGGAAGTTCGATTTGAATAGGCCAAAAGGAATGTTAATTTTCGTCAAGATAGATGAAGATTGATCTAAAGGATTTTGAAGACAGGGTAGCCCACTCGCGTCACTTCCTCAGATATTGTTGTTTCATTTTCTCAAACTTTTCCTCTTGCAGGCACTTAGCAAACTGTCAGCGATAGTTGTAGAATAAATCACATGCTACAGATGACAAGCTAGCAAATGAAGAGACATCCATGGACTATCATCGATTGCTGACAGAGCCAGTCATCATTGATTAGAAGTCAAACAGTGAGCGAGTTGACAATTCTCTGTTGGGCTGCTGAAACAGAACTAAGATGTTTTTGATAGATAGGTTAATCGAACTAATGTTCCTACGGAAGTCGATTCTAGGGGTAAGCTAATTTAACAGCCTAGGTTCATTAGTTAAGTGTTGACCTCAAACAACTAAGCATATATCAAAACAGTAGAGTTCAAGTATTTATTCACTCCCTTATTTTGTATAAACGTTATACTTCTTATTATCTTATATTGAAAGTTGATAGGCTTTGTTTGTGTTAAGAGATAATCCTACGCCCCACTATGACTGCGCGAAGATCTAAATAAAAACCTATTCTCTACTAGTATGGTTTCTTCTGTCAATAGCACGAGGGTTACCTAAAGGCACGAAACACACAACTAGTCAGAATAGGTTTCTGCGAGTTTTTAAAAACAATAAAAACCAGGATTGGTCCAGAATCAAATGTTTATTTAAAACATGTTTAAATATATAGAAAAAATACAACAGCCGCTATTTACAAATCAGTACATATCCCAAGACATTCAAAAATAACGAAAGATAAACTTACACAGATACAATCACTGAATTAAAGAATTAATTGAAAGACGTAGAGCACTCAAAATACAAACGCACACGAATAATCACTTTAAAAAAAGGATGGCAAGAAAAGCTTACACGAATGACTAGTGGAAAAATCTCCAAATACCCCAAAATAAGATCAGTGTAACAGCTACCAAAACCCAGAATAATATTTTATCCTGGTGACTTCGCCGTTCAATAAGAC